CCCTAACCCTAACCCTAACCCTAACCCTAACCCTAACCCTAACCCTAACCCTAACCCTAACCCTAACCCTAACCCTAACCCTAACCCTAAGTTTGTTTCTGCGTCGGTCTCATGAACGCCATAGGGCAAGATGAGATTACAAATTGAACACAGCAAGGGTCCAGTGAAGCCCGCTGCAACGGCAAGGAAGCACAAATTATTTATCCACACGCCCCTCCAGTGAACTGGACTGACGCAAGAATAAACACTTGGTACTCCTGTGCTGTTGCAGCGGGCTTCACTGGTCCCTCGCTGAATTCAATTTGTACTTCCTTCTGACGAAAGGGGTCAAAAAGACAGCACAAATGAAAAAACCAACACTTTGTATCGCCCTTTGCATCTCAGTGGGAACGACCGGACGGTTGCTGGATTTAAATTTGTATTTCCCTCCTGATGGAGGGGGTAATTTCAAAAAGACGAGCGGATTGAAAAAGAAAAACCATTTTGTACCTCCCTTTGCGTCAAAGCAGAAATAACTGGACGGTTGCTGGATCTAAGACTGTATTTTCCTGCTGATGAGGGGGGATTTCCAAAAAAGCCAGCACCAGTCTAAACTGGACGGAAAGAGAAGAAACATTTTGTATCTCCCCTTGCGTTGCAGCAGGAATTTAATTTGTATTTCCCTGCTGAGAAAGGGGGATTTGCAAAAAGGCAAGGCAAGTTGAAATGGCCGAAAGAAGAAATAAACATTTTGTATCTCCCCTTGCGTTGGAGCGGGAATTTAATTTGTATTTCCCTGCTGAGGAAGGGGGAATTTGCTGACGAAGGGGGGATTTCAAAAAAAGGCGGCGCGTGAATACAACAAAAAGCATCTATTTTCAAGTCGTGCCAGCAGGTCAGAGGGCGGTGTGGCTCTCAGGGTCTGCTGCCGCCAATTTTCAATGAATTCAGCGCCCAGCACCCAGCGCGTCAAGCAGCAAGGGAAGCTCATCAAGCTGTCCGGGGCCAAATTCTTCAAAAGTGGATTCCCGCACCCTATGGAACCGGATTGTATTTTATCTTACACACACTGTAGGTGGAATCAGACCGTTCTTGTCATCGAGCGAGACTCCCAATACGTCCTGGCAACATTGTGGCATTACCAATACGTCCACGACATCTCGCCTACGCCAAGCCTCACCACCTTAGTTCCAAGAGAGGTCCTCAGACCCTTGGCGCTTAACATAACGCCTCAATCCACAAGACAGCCGACGTCAAGCAGGCATTTGCCAAAAGCAGCCACCAGCAGAAGTTTCTTCCGCCCTATTTGCTGTTCCTCAACATTGCAGATTGGCTGTTTGGTTACATCAAGCCACATCTCTCAAAGGAGCAGTACAAAGATACAACAAGCCTGTTTGCAGCGATCAGGAGCAGCGCCAATACTGTCACAAGCGAGATGGCAACCAGGTGGATCAGGGAGGTGAACAGGAATCTCATTTGATCGGTTAATGGCGAGGTGCTGGGAAGAGAGCATCATTACAACATGAGCGAGGGCGATGAGGATGTTTCTGGTGATGCTTAGATGGTATAGCAATATGAAGTCAAAAAGAGCGAGATTGCTCTGGTGCGCAAGCCAACTTGATTTGGCGCAAGAGCGAGGTAGACCTGGTGTCATTGTGGGTGCCACATATGAAGAGCAAGATTGACATGGTGCGGCAAGCAAAATCAATCCAAAAAGAGAGTACACCATTGCAAAGCTGAGACAAAGGGCTTTCAGACGATATAAGGCGATGGTATGATTGATTGGGAGCATCATGGCAAAGTATGGTGATTTGTGGTGATGCGATTTTTATTTTGACAGTTTCCGAACGCACTGTAATTGATCACTTTCGGCGCGTAGTGTAGCAGCTCGAAAAGATGGTCGGAAAAATTGGCCTGTATCTTCGTTGTGATCTGGCGACAAGATGGTCTGAGCATGGTCACAACAGGCTATGTAAAGAGAGTAAGCGAGCGATCCACGACGAGCTTCGAGAAAGGAAAGACATGCATTCAAAACATCTAACAAATGGTATCTACAGACGAGCCTGGTCGCCGATCTGCTCGTGAAGGTTGACGGGGGCGGTGGCGCCGATATCGCGGGCGACGTTGCGAGCGACACCACGCGCGGTGGCCATGGTGGTGATCATGGGGTTGACACCGCTCGACTCGCACATGGCCGAGGCGTCAGCGACCCAGAGGTTCTTGGCGCCCCAGACGCGGCCCTCGGGATCACAGGCGCCCACCTTGGGGCTACCTCCCATGCGACACGAGGCCATCTGGTGCGCAGAGCCAATGCCGAGGATGTAGGGCGCAGCGCCTGCGGATGCGACCTTCTTCTGCCACTCCTTGTAGGCGGGGTCGTTGAGATCGCGGGGCACGGTCTCGACGGGGGTGAAGGTAGCGGGCACCTGCGTGGTCTCGGTGTAGATGTTGTCAACGGGGGGCAGGGGTGCGACGGGCGAGCCCTTGGTGCTGGGGTTGCCGTGGCTGAGCTGGCTTGCGACAAAGGTGGGCACAGCAGCCTGCGCGGTGCCAATAGTCTCGGCACCCGCCATCAGGTGCGCGTCGGCGCCACGGAGGATGCCCTGGAGCAGAGAGCGCTGGTCAAACTTGGAGATGGTGTACTCGATGCGCGTGTGTCCGTTCTCGTCGAGAACGATGCGGCCGCTGTCGCGGTCGCGGCAGATGATGACCATGGTGTAGCTGTGGCTGTACTTGAGCATGTTCTGCTTGTGCTCTTTGGCGCTGGAGAAGTTGTTGAAGGCGGCGTGGATGGAGGGCGACGATGCTATTACTTCGATCTTGCAGCCCCATCCCTCCTTGTCGACCAGCTCGGCTGAGTTGTCGACCATGGTCAGCAGTCCACCCTCCCACGGCTTGACGGGGAAGTTGTAGTAGCCCGTAACGATCGTTGCGGGGTGAAGTCGGAGCGTCTGGCCAATCATCTTGTTGGTCTTGAGCTCAGGCGAGCGCATGAGCAGGGCAGGAGTCTGGAGAGAGCCCGACGAGACAACGACACCCTTGGCAGCGAGAATCTTGATCTTGCGACCGTCGACGGTAGCCAGGGCCCCGATGGCACGCTTGTTCTTGTCGAAAAGGATGCGCTCGACGTAGCAGTTGGTCATGAAGGCGGCACCTGCCTCAGCGGCATCCTTGAGCCACGACACCACACCGCCCTGCTTGTGGCCGGAGACACAACCCAGCTGACACTTGCCACAGTAGTGGGTGTGACCGCCGCTGTTCTGCGGAACGGGCTCGACGGGGTGACCGGCGCGCTGTCCGCCAAGCGCAAGAAGCGAGTTGCCGATGTTGTGACGGATGGGAGCGACTGCAACGCCCATGCGAGTGCAGACAGCGTTGAGGTCGGAGGTGAAGAAGGGAGAGTTGTAGTATGGCACGCCAAACTCCTCAGCCCATCGTCGGCGAACAAAATGACGAGGCTTGAGCGAGGCGGACCAGTTGATCGAAGAGCCTCCACCAAAGGTGGCGCCGGCGAGAATGTTGATCGAGCCGTCTTCGGAGGGAAGAATACCTTCACCCTCGTAGAGCAGACCGTAGCCCTGGTCCTCACGACCGACAACCTTGTCGGGGTGAAGGTAGATGCCCTTGTCGACAATCAGGGTGCGAACGCCGCGCTGAGCCAAGTAGCTACCGGCAACACCACCGCCGGATCCCGAGCCGATGACGAGCACTTCTGTGTCGACGACGATCTCGGAGCCAGAGGGCTGAGCGGCGATCTTTTCGTTCTCGAACTTGTAGTCGTAGACAGGAGTGGCAGGTGCAGCCTCGCCACCTTGGGTTGGACGAGTCCAGTCATCGGGTCGGCCATCCGGGTAGCCGATAGCCTCCCATGCCGGCTGGTGGTTGCGGTAGTAGACAAGAAGGATGATGCCTCGGAGACCTGCAGATGCCTTGCGGAAGAGGGTGAGGCGCGAGGTGAACCAACCGAAGATGATCTTCTCTCGGGTGGCACGGTCGAGCTGGGTGAACGGGCCAACATAGCCGGAGAGGGCCATGGTACCGGGGCGAGTGGAGAGAAGGGTGAGGAAGAGGTTGATGTCGCCCGCGACCTTGGAGGAGAGAGAGGCGTGGCACTGCTGAGCGGCGCAGTCGAGCAGACGGGGCGTCGACTTGAAGCCTTCACGGGCGAAGCGAGGTGCCAGTTCTCGCTGACGGTCGGTGGCTTCGACGGGCAGATGAGAGAGAACATCTGCGGCGTCGGCGCCGTCGAGTTCAGGCACGATGGCATCGGCAAAGGCGAGGAAGGCCTCCCTCTGAGCAGCGTTCCAGTACTCCTCCGCCTTCATGATCTTGGGCATAGGGATGGTCCCCTTGGTTTCGACCGACATGATGGGACGCACTTGTCGTAACGATAGTGACCGAGGAGTAGGAGAAGACGTGAGATATGAAAAAGGTGATCGATTTCGAGGGCGTCACGATCAGAGGTAAGGGTGATGGAAAGGAAAGTAAGGATAGGAGAGGGATGCAACGGCAAGGAGTTGGAGAAGTCGAGAAGGGGTGGGGCAGCGAGGTCTTTGTACAACGGTGCGCAGTGGCGGCAGGGTTGCCTCAAGAAAAGAGGTGGGTTCGGAAGGACTGGCTCCAAGCTGCTTCGTGCGCGCAACGAGTGGCAGGAACAATTAGAGATGCGGGGAAAGCGTCGGTTGAGACAGAGAGCGTGTGGATGGCAACAAGCTTGTGCGAGCGAGGGCGGTAACCGCGTTTGGAGCGGCTGTCTCCTGCAAGGCCAGCCGAAGGGTGCACCTCACTAAGACGCAAGCCAAGCACCCAAACGTCAATCACTCTCGTAATCGTTTGCATGTGTTCAACCTTCCCCGGGTGCAAGAGCCAGTCGGAGTTGGAAGACTCAGCGTCAGCATCGTGGGGTTGTGCATCCAAGCGCTACACGGCATTGGCGCTTGGAAGATACACTCTGAAAGCCTTCATCCGACTACAATGTCACAGTGAAGACGTGACACTGTTCTTGCGAGCTGAAGAGTGGATAGCGTTTGACCCCACGTATCGACGATCATGCATCCTCATGCGACGCTTCGGTGGCGAGGAGGGGTCTAAGCTTAGGTTGATGGTGGAAGACCTGGCCCGGGGTTCGCTTATGCGAGCGACTTCCGTGAGTGGGCTCGCTTGGCGGTAACCCAGAGAAGATCCCGGCTCAAAATGGCGGGTCGGGTGCTGGCGACGAAGAGTTTGCATCCAGGCACGCGCGTGAAATGCGTGGAATGCCCCCCACTCACTCAACCAAACATGCCCTGAGCCGCGGAATGGAGACCCCCAGCCGCAAGACTCAAACATTCACACGGTCAAGCTCTTCCATGCAGGCCTCCATGAAAGTGCTGCAGACAGCAACGCATCCCCCTTGTAGCATGCGGATCACTGTACCGGAAGGATAGCCATCGAAAGGACAAAAAGTCAGAGCTCGACGTTGCTCAACTGACGGAGGGAAAAAAATGAGGTCGTACTGGGATTCGAACCCAGGGCAAGAGAAATTCGTACTATCGCAGCCTGTTAGAACCGCGCCAAGTCAGAATCTCCTAAGTTAACCAACTACTCCATACAACCGTGGATGACAGAGCTTGACACCACTACAATTATGACGTTGTTCAAAAGCACGCCGCTCCAATTTGGCATTCTGTGCGGTGTGCGCTCGTCGTGTTCGGCGGTCATCTGCAATCAATTGTCGAAGCACTCATTTGAGCTTCTTCACCTTTCGCAAGAGAGCTTCGTAATTAAGCGGCATGCTCGCATCAAAGACGTTGATACCCAAAGGGCCGGTGCGGCTCAGCATGGATGCCTTTGATCGTGTTCGCCCGGGTCCTCAGAGAGAGGGCCAGGCATATCGAGACGCACGAAGGCTTCTACATCTGATCTTTATGGTATTGAGAATGCTAGTGGTACAATTGCAGAACACGATGCGTGGGACGTGGGTTGGAGGTCGCTGTTTGTCAAGGCGGCGCTGCAAAAGGCTTATCTGTCGACACGAAGGAAGCAGATCAACCCATCTGCGCAAACTCGCCGACGCGCTGGAACTCCGAGGCGTTGGCATCTGCGGCGATATCAGTCGTGTCCATCTCGGTCTCTGCGTTCGACTTTTGTTGCTGCTCTAGCTCGAGCGTGAGCAGCTTGTGGGTGCCAGTGTGCATCAGCTTGCATTGGTCGCTGTTGATAGTGCAGATGTCTGGGATGTCAGCTGGACGCCTCTTTCTCTAGGAGATGGCCGTAGATCTTGCGGTCGCATTCTGACGCCTTTGACATGCGTCGAGAGGGAAAGATGGGGGTGGAACTTACGGATCGTTGCCGCTGATGCGAACCATTCGGAAGAGGGGGAGTGCTTGCGGGTCACCCTGCCATTCGCGGAGCAGCTTGACATTGGTTGCATTGGTGAAGTCTGGAATCTCTAAGCCTTCGTTGTATTCTTGAAGCTCTTTGGCGATGACTTCCTTGAGCTCGACCTCGCGCTTGTGAGGAGGTCGACCAGGTCTCCTATCTGCTCTGAGCTCTTCCAGCTCGTCGTGGTGCCGTGTGAGGAAGTTGTCTTTCACGAAAGCGTGTACAGCTGCGAGATCTGGCAGTGCATCGATGTCGTCGGGCAGCATGAGAATGAGAGTGGAGAGGCGGTCGACTTTGGCGTTGGAAGAGCGACTCCGGACGGACTTGGCCTGGTTGAGCTTGTCCTTGCGATGGGCGACTCTGGCCAGCTGGGTCGCTCTCCTCGAGTACGGATGGGTTGGGCCCGACTTTTTCTTGATCGAGCGTTCCGAGATCTTCTTGCCACCCATTTTGGCGGTGTAGAATCTACGAGAAGGTTTGTTGCAGGTGGAAGGAGTGGGGCTGGATGACGGCTGGACACCGTTATAGGATGGCTGGAAAACGGCGAAGAGGTCGGACCCTGAGAACTTCCTGTTGCACAGAAAACAAAATTTGGCGCGAGCAGCTCGACCTGGCGCCGGGTTCCGAGGCGACTTCCTATCGGGACGATTGTAGCCCGATCCAACCCGTCGAACCCACTCACTGAAGCAGCTGATCTCGAAAGCTTCTGCATGGCTGACAGTGCCCGGCTTGTCGACTGGCATGGTCGCCGGCATAATATGTATCAACTCGCTCGACGTTCGTCTCTTCGGCATAAGCGATCTGCATGACGGAAAGACGCCGCGGCGTGAAGGTCAATGCCAATGTGCATCAAGGCGTGCATGATCAAGGCACGGTAATGAAGGGGTTGAACGCCGTGCTGGGCTGGCGCGACCAAAAGGGGGTGGCGGAACAAAAGTCGAGGCTCGATTGTGCCGCCGTTCGGGTGGAAAAGGCGCTTCGCTGGCAGCGCTTCTTTTGCGGTGGCCGGCTCGCAGGACCGAGATGCGAAGCTGCTGCTCTCTGCAGATCTTTCTACACCGCCTTGAAACCTCGCTTGCAAAAGTCACTTGCCGAGTCGGAGGATTTTGTCCCGAGATGGCCAAGCTCGACTGGACGGCGGGACACCAAGCCCTACACGCCAAGCTTGGCAAGCGACGGTATAGCTTGGCAACGTATTTCGCAAAGGCAGAGAATAGAGCAACTTGTCGGTAGGACTCATTGCCAAAGCGTTGCTTGCTTCTTCATTTCGACAGCAGAGGCACAAACTTCTTTCACTTCAGCATTGGAGCTCGATGCACTTTTCCGTGTTGCGCGTGCTGCCTCAGCCGAGGATCGTCTTGAGCATACTCAGCATGCAGAGCTCGCGCCAACTTTCATTGTTGCTGCGGTCACTACATAAGCTTCGTATGGAATGAGGTCGATTCGAATCGCCGGCAGCGAGCTGCTTGCTGCGATCGTCTTGCGTGCCGAAGCCTGAAGGATGAAAGGGCTCGCAGGAGGGCTGTGCAGCGCGTCTGGACAGACAATTCAGGATAAGTACTCTCGAACTCGCGCGACATCCTTTCCAAAACTGTGATTTGTATTGAGTTGGGTTTCGCGTTTGTAATGCTGTGCCGATAGACCCCAAGAGCAACAACAACAAAGCGTTTATTTTTGAACCCCTGAAACCCTGTCTGAGACGTTCTTCTCCGAGCTGAGAGAACAGGGTTTCCTTTGTGTTCTCGCTGGCTGCTTGCTGGTGGCTCTGCTCGGTGTCCAACTCTGCAGCTCTTTCCGCCCTCTCCTCGCTCGGACTTGGATGCTCCTCCGTCCGTTCTGTGTGTTCTGTGAACACGAGGCGGTGGGCGCAGCTTCACTTCATTGTTCTTATGCATCTGCATTCACCGGGGTTCCTTCGTCACGACCACCACCACCTCCTTCGTACCCTTCAGAACGCGGATCTTTCCATCCCTCGTTGCACGCCCAGTATAGACGGAACGGATCACCATGGTCAAACTCACCATCGCCGCTGTGCCTCTCGCACTCGCCGCCATCGCTTCGGCCAAGCCTGACTTTGAGAAGCGTCAAGCTTCGGGCTCCGGCTCGTCTGGCTCCGCGACCCGAACGGGTTCGGGGGCCTCTTCTTCTGCTGCCACCGGTGGCGCTTCGGCCGCCCCCACCTCGACCTTCACCGGAACTCTTCCTGCTTCCGTCTCGTCCATCATTGCCGGCATCTCTTCCGGTTTCGGCGACACCACCTCCACCACCTCGCTCTTCACCACCTATCCTGCTGGTGCCAGCAACCCGCAGGTCACCGGCGCTCCTGGTCTGCCCAACCTCAACTCGATCCTTCCTTCCAACTTCCCTGCGCTCGATGTCGTCCCTCCCACCGACTCGGCTCAGGTGCAGCAGTGGATGTCTCAGATCGACTTCTCCCAGGTTCCCAACGTCACCACCACTGTAGACTCCGCCTCGTGCAGTGGCAACCCCACCAACCTCGCACAAGCTGGTGCTAGCGGAAATTGCTGGTGGACGTGCGGTCAATGCACCCGTTCCACCGACATCACCACCTGTCCCGACCAAAACACCTGGGGCCTCTCGTACGATGACGGCCCTTCGCCCTACACCCCGACTCTGCTGCAGTACCTCAACCAGAACAACATCAAGTCTACCTTCTTCGTGGTCGGCTCGCGTGTCATCTCGCGTCCTCAGATGCTTCAGACTGAATTCCAGCAAGGTCACCAGATTTCAGTCCACACCTGGTCGCACCACGCCCTCACCACGCTCACCAATGAACAGATTGTCGCTGAACTTGGCTGGTCCAAGGAGGTCATCCGCTCCGTGATTGGCGTCACCCCCAACACCATGCGTCCTCCTTACGGCGACATCGATGATCGTGTTCGTGCCATCTCGCTCCAGATGGGTCTCACTCCTATCATCTGGACCACGCCCCCCGGACGCGCACCCTACGACACCAATGACTGGCGTATCGCTGCCGGTGTCGTCTCGCCTGCTGAGGTGGTATACAACTTCGAGTCGATCATAAAGAATGCCTCGTCGCTCTCCACCGGTTACATTGTGCTCGCCCACGACCTGTACCAGCAGGCCGTCGACATTGCCGTCAACGTCGTGCTCCCCGCTGCTAGGCAGATGAGCCCCGCTCAGAGCCTCATGCCCATTGTCCAATGCCTCAAGAAGCCTGCCTCGGATGCCTACGTCGAGACCTACTCTAACAGCTCGGGCGCTCTTCCCAACGAGGTCGGCACCACGGGTACCCACACCATCACCTCGAGCCGAGCTGCTGCTCCCGCTCTTTCTACGGGCAGCGGTGCCGCAGGCAGCGCCGGCTCCAGCACGGGCGGCCGCAACTTCTCGGCTGCCTCTCTCTCGTCGCTGCCTACCTTTGTGCTTCCCACCGCCGTGCTCGGCGCTGTGATGCTCTTCTTCGGTCTCCTTGCTTAAAGCGGATGCTATTTATGAACAGTCAAACTCGCTCCCATCTGGATGCTTGTTGCGATCCGACTCATGGACACTACCCTTCGCTTCGATTTTGCCCCTCGCACGTACTCCCTCTTGGTTTTGATGTATGCATGCTCCGTGGCCGAGCGGGCTGTGCCCCTTGATACGCTGCTGTGCATCGTCAGTGCTTCCATTTTGGCAATTCAAAGATCAGGCAATCTTCCGCCGTGACATGACCACGACTCATCCGGCCCGCATCGTCTGTTTGTGCATAGGCCTCATTGCTGCTTTCAGCGTGATCTGACTAGCCGTGACAAGGGGAACAGTGTCGACGTCGCGGTGTGAAAGCTGAACCGGTGCGCACGAAATCTGACATCTTGACAATTTTTGGCAGCTCGAGGTCCATGCACGGTGATGAATGAGGGATTGGCGACCTGCATGTTGTGGAGAGCCCCTGAAGAGTCTCGCTCCTCCGCAGGCGACCACCAACATCGCCGGGACTGCCGGGTCTTCCCTGTCTCGTCCATCCTCACTGCACTGACGCTCGGACCGCTGTCAACCTCAGCGCATCCCGGCCCAACATTTGTCGACCATGTTCAAAGCCATCTTCTCTCCATCCAACAGCTCCAAGCAGCCAGCAGCGGGGACCAACAAGATCACGGCGACACCGTCTTCTCCCAAGACTCGCACAAAGATCCCATCATCGTCGCCAAGCATGCCTTCGAGTCCTTCTCTGCCGTCACGCGGCTCGAGCTCAGCCATGGCAGCCTGGACAGTGCCTCCTTTCCCGCATCCCTTGCCCGAACGTCGCATCGGCATCCTACCTACGGACCAGGGTCTTCTAGTGTATCCACGAAGCTCGTTAGACGCACATCACCAACACGCGCGATCACCACATCATACAAAAGCGAGCACAATAGTGCCAACCAGCACGGCTGGCGCTCGTGCACTGGGCTCCGGGGACGGATTCAAGGTCGCAACCATCGGGACGTCCAAAGCAGCTGCTGCCGGGGCTCCACCTTCCATCACCTCGCTCGACGTCGGCTTCCTGATCGACTGGAGCAAAGACGCCAAGATCACACCTCTGCCACCGTCTGATTGGAAGCCGCTGGTCGACAGTTCGACAGCCGAATCTGCATCAATGGAATGCTCTGGTATCGTTGGACTTTCGCGCTTCTTCAACAGCGGCTATCTTTTCGTCATCACCAGCTCCAAGCTGATTGGACACTACTTCCACGACACACGGCCCATCTACTGCTGCACGGGTGTGCTTGCAATTCCGCTGCTGAAAGACGAGGCGACGCAAGCGATTCGCTCGCAAGCTGCGAAGGGCAGCGGTGCGGCTCCTGAGGCACATCCAGCGGCATCCTCAACAGATCAAAGTGATTCCTCCGAGAGCGACTCAGATAGTGACGAGTCAGACTACGACGACGTACAGACGCCAGCTGCGATTCCCAGAGAACCGTTCTTCTCGTCCATCTCGCGACATGCCGACACGCTCCGCATGCCCAAATCGAGGCCTTGGCTCACCCGCGCTGCTCGTTCTGTCTCCGCTGGTCGAATCGACACCGTCTCTGAAGATGCAGCCACGCAGTCTCAGCTCGCGGACGCTGCACAACCCGCCAATGACGTCGTTGAAGTGCCACAGCCTGGCTCGCCTGAGGAACCCTTTGGAGCCGCGCCTGCAACGGCCGATCAGCAGTGGCACGCAGCCAAGCAAGCCGAGCTGGAAGAAAAAGCAGTGCGTGAGACAGCAAAGTACTGGGCGCGAGGCGAGTTCTGGTTCAGCTACGACTTTGATCTCACCACGTCGCTGCAGAACAAGCGGCGTGCGCTCGAGGGCAATCCGAAGCCCAACGCGAACGTCAGCCCGCAGCTAGCTTCGCAGCAGTTGCATCAGGCCCGAAGTTCCACGACGAGCACTCAGGATGCGCAACGGACACCCGCCTTTCCCCTGCTTGCCGAGCCGTATCCCGGCCTGCCACTGTGGAGGCGAGCCGATCGGCGGTTCTGGCACAACGAGCACATGTCCAAGGACCTCATTCACGCTGGACTGCACGCCTACATCCTTCCTGTGATGCAAGGCTACCTGCAGACGGTCAGTTTGCCCATCCAGCCGATTGCTGACGCTAACGAGAAGGCGGATGCAGTGCTGCGCTGTCAGCTGATGGTCATCTCGCGTCGGTCCAAGGAGCGTGCTGGGCTGCGGTACCAGCGTCGTGGAATCAACGAGTCTGGCCAAGTCGCCAACTTTGTCGAGACCGAGCAAATCCTCTACGTTCTTCGTGGGCCGCCGTCCTCCGCATCTGCGGCCGATCTGATCGGCGACGTGCTGTCGTTCGTCCAGATTCGCGGAAGCATCCCGCTGTACTGGTCGCAAAGTCCGTTCTCGCTCAAGCCGCCGCCGGTGCTCGAGCGGACCGAGGTGGAAAACACTGCAGCATGTCGTAAGCATTTTGCAGTTCAAGTAGAAAGATACGGCGATATCACGTGCATCAACCTCGCCGAGCAGGGTGGCAAGGAAGGGCAGATCTCCAAGGCCTACCGTGAGGCTGCAGAGAACCTTCGTGGAGAAGCATCGCAGGATGGGTGGGACAGGGGCAAGCTGCATTATGTCGACTTTGACTTTCACAAGGAGTGTTCAGGGATGCGGTTCGAGAACGTCGCCAAGCTCATTGGGTCGATGGAGGAGACGCTCGGCGAGATGGGTTACTACCATCATCGAACAGCGGGCGAGAGGAAGGTGGACGTGGTGCGTAGGCAGACGGGCGTCTTCAGGGTGTCATGTCTGGACTGCTTGGATCGGACCAACGTCGTGCAATCGGCGTTTGCGAGACACGTGCTGACGGGTCAGTTGGCAAAGCTGGGAATCATGGTCGGGTCTGCCAGCACCTAGTCGTGTCGATATCGTCCTTTCGTTTCGCGTCTACATCGACCTCATATACCCAGATCGTCGAATACATCCGTTCAGGATCAAAGTTGCATCCAAATTGATGGGCTCTCCTCAGCAGGCCACTCCGTGCAAGTGACAGGTGCATTCAAGGGAATTGCCATTGCCAGATCTGTGAGTCAATGGCAGGGTATACTATCGAGCAAAGTCGGTGGCGAACAAGATCGTATCGAATAAATCACAGCCAGAGACGGCGTTTCAGCCCCTCAATCAGCTCGCCAAAGTACGGCATCATGGCCTTAGCCTCATCCAGGCTGTCCAAACCAAACCAAAGCAAAGATCGGATCAGCTTCCACTCCAGTGCTGAAGAACGACGGAAAAAGCATACCTCTGAATCGTCTCGTGGGTGACAAACTGCGTCTTGCCCTCGGAAGTCTCGTCGTCGATGTCGAACACGCCTGCGTCGCTGCAGGCCACGCGGAGGTGCTCGACGATGCGCCGCACCTTCTGCTTGGATGTGATGCAGCCATCCTCGTCGTCCTCCTCGGCCTCGCCGCGTGACGTGGCTTTGACGGTGTGGTGGAGATGCCGCGAGCGTGCTCCTGCGTGAATGTCGGGAACGACCGTGTCGCCCAGCTCGTCGGTGATTGCGCGGAATGCAAAGATGTGAGTGGACTCAGCAGCAGCAGCCGAGGCGGCGTCGAGGTTGATGTTTTTCATCGAGGCAGCGGTGTTGGTGCGCGAGATGCTGTTGAGGTATATCACTACCAGCCCCCAATTATCGTCCGGATGGGACGAGTCGTTCGGCGAGATGACATAGAGGCCTATTGTGAAGTCAGACGAGTATTGGTGTCGAAAGATGAGCTGTGGTCAGCAAGCATGATGGGGAGTCAAAACAGCTGGAAGTGGATCGAAACGTACCTTCTTGGATGCCGACGATGTCGCCGACGAGGACCTTTGTGAACTCGTTGAGCTTCTCGCTGCCGAAATCGTAGCTGCAGACGTAGAGCGCTTTCGCCGTCAGCAGCACCACTTTCTCTTCCAGCTTCAGCGCCTGCACTGTGTCCTTCTGCAGTGGAGAACACAGTGTCCATCCTCCGACCACCTCTTCGGTTTCCGGTACGACTTCGCGCGTGCAGCTCTCGATCGCGCTCGCCCTGACCCTCGCCAAACGCACCGACTCGCTCGGGTCTCGACTGTTCAGATCGTCATAGTACTTCTCCAGCCCATGCAGCCCGATGGAGCCGTAGGTGAAGTCAAGCACGGTCTGCCGGAAGAAGTCGGTCACTGCGCCTTGGACCATGCGGTAGACGCTGTTGGTCGCATCATTGATCATCCCCAGCCAGCTTCGTTTGCCGGTGCGGGTAAAGTCCACCTTGAGTGCATCTGTGTTGGAGTAGCAGTGCGAGATAGCGTTGGCATTGTTCGCCCAGATGTCGTTGAAGGCCAGGTCGAGGGTCTTTTCGTGGAGGAGGAAGCGCGGAGCGGGGACCGAGGTGGGTGATGGAGCGGCAGCGGCGGGTGCGACTGCCGTAGCGATCTTGGAGGACGTGTCCGCTGGAGGTGAGGTATCGACGTCCGCCATGACGCTGTGTAATGCCCCTGCTGGGGTCAAGCGCGTCAATGAGAACGTGTTGGACGAACGAGGATGATCGTGTTGGTGTGCAGAAAGGATGCACGGTCGCATCCGGAGAAATGTCATGCAGGACCCCTAACCACACCTCTCACACTCCACATTTCATTCTCGAGAACAACACCACCACGCAATTTGAGAGGGCGTGTCATGAGAAGAGCTGGAATTCTGGGAGGTCATGATCAGGCAAGCGCCGCGAGCACCATATCCGTCTGAGGCGGACATTTGCGTAGACTTTGACAAACGAAATGCTGTGAAAGCGGCCAAAGTTTGCATCGCTGCGTATTGCGCCAGCGTCGATGAGCGAGGTATCCGACAGGTGCTTGGCCAGTCGGTCAAGTGGAAGCGTGAACACCTGCCAAGCTGTCAGAGACGTTTCGTCTTGGTCTGGCTTAGCGGCCATGGACAGAGAAAGATGCAGCAGTGCTTCGACGCCGTTTCTGGACTCTCCGTCCCCATCCTGTCCCGCAATTCGCTTGGTGGGACTCAGGTAAAGCTTCGGCTCCGATTGAAAGCTGCTCACGCGGATCGCAGCTCGCCGTCCAGCTCCGTCCCTGATGCCGACCGCGAAGACAAACGGTCTTGAGCTTCTGATAGCTCTGAGCTGAAACGTCACAAGCGGCAGCTCAATGCCAAGCTCCGCACTCTCGTTAGGTGGGCATCGAACGAACGTGTCCCGGATCGCCGGAGATTGGATGTGCAACACCGGGTCCGAGCTCGAGCCACGAGTCGTCTGTTCTGATCACAGCACAAAGCTGGGGTGGGTGATCTCGGGGTCATTTGAAGCCGTCTCGTCGGTCTCGTCGATCAAGAGACGGATGCCTGAGTCCTCCGGCAGTGCAACATCTTGATGAAATGCCCACAGTGCGAAAGGGTCTGAAGAAGTGGACGAGAAAAGGCTCACCGCCTCTGGTTGCACTACGCTTCCGAACAGCGAGCATGGAGCGTGCTCGGACGCCATCAGCACATGTCGATGAGAGCTGGAAGCTTTGAGCGAGGCTGTTGCCGAGAGGGAAGGTCGGCAGAAGCATCGACACATGGGTGAAAAAGTGGAGCATTGCAGATGGCATTTTCGGCAGTCGGAGACGAAGGGCCGAAGCTCCTTCCGACTTTCTGGCGCCTGCTTGTTCGAGGTCGAAGAGCGCAGTCTTCGTCCCTGATCCTCATGACCACCAGCAACACCGCACAATCTCGGTCTATGTACACAGACTCACAGGGCATTCGGCTTCGCACAGCATGAATCAGCTCAAGCAGTCCCTCGGCGAGCAGTCCGAATTGCTGTCTGTCCTGCACAAGTTTGCCGAATCCATCTACACCAACCCTCTGAACCTCTTGCTCCTCGGCCTAATCCTCTACATCCTCTTGCCGCTCGTCTCGCCATCATCACCGCTCTCCTCGCGCTGGACACCATCGCTAGCCGAAGCGCGCTCTCACCTCGCCGCTCCGTCCGATCGATACACCTACCTGCCCCCGCACCACCCCGACGTGATCGAGAGGACAAAGTACACGCCGCGCACGCTCGCCGTCTACGATGGCACAGGCACAACCCAAGACGGCGAACGCATCCTGCTCGCCATCAACCGCAAGGTGTTCGACGTGACCAAGGGCAAGAACTTCTACGGTCCCGGCGGGCCGTATGGCAACTTTGCGGGAAGGGACGCAAGCAGAGGTATGGCCAAGCAGAGCTTTGATCTCGACATGCTAACGCCTCTGGACAGGCCGATTGACGCGTTGGAGGATCTGACTCCGAGCGAAGTGTAAGTGTGAACGCTGCCGGATCAAGTGATAGTGGCAAAGTAAGCTGACATCGATGTGCTCTTGACTCGAATAGCAAAAACATGAAGGAGTGGCAGGCACACTTCACGGGCAAGTATGGCATCGTTGGCGAGCTCATTGACGAAAACGAGGCGTGAACCCAAGCCTGCACGCAATCATGAAACGTGAAAACAACCATCTTGAACGTCATCGAGTCCCAATTGCGATGCATTGCAGAAGAGCGAGAGAGAGAAAGACTTACAGGGTCACAAAGGTTCGCGACGTGGACGATGCGAATGGTGCAGGACATCGACTCAACGCGATCCGGTGCCCCAGAAGCGGTCGCCAATGGAGCCGCAGCCCGGCGTGATGGCAAACACGACGCGGCTGCCCTTCGCAGGCGATTGGCCCACGCTGCCCTGCCTTTGAGCCTGCGAACGTTGCTTGGCCTCGTCATTGCTTACGAACCGACGATCGATGCTGAGCAGCGGAGGCGAAGCCAGCATGTGCAGGTTGTCATTCCGATTGAATCCTGGGGAGAGGTCATCTTCGTCCACTGCAGCGTTGTGCAATGACTCTGAGGACACGTCTCGATCTTGCTTGTTTGCAGATGCGCCGCTGGAAGTTGCTGTCTGCCAAGGAATCCGCAGCTTCTGCAGCCCCGGATCGACGCCCGCCACGACGATTCGAACACGCGGGAAAGCACGGTTCAGGGCATGAATGCCACCCTGCGAGCTTGCCAGAAGGGTGACAAAGATGATTTGGTCCTCCGGGACCGAGTGGTCCAGAAGCACGCGAATGGCCATGAATGCCGCAGCGCCCGTTCCGATCTGAGCATCTAGCAAGAAGACCCATGACTTTTCGGCTGTTTCGCGGCGACGAATGAAAGACGGCAGAGAAACGTCGTAGAGATGGGGCTCGCCGTCTTCCTCGTTCGACTGGATGAGAAGGCTGCCGAGCGACATGGCTGGGAAGGCGCGGCGCAGCGAGGGTTCGAGTACGGCACCCGAGCGAAGGATCGAGACAGAGCACAGGGTGGAGACGTTGATTTCGTGGCCGATGTGTTTGCGTCCGCCGTGAATAGTGACTTCCTTCTCCTTGTAGGGCAGCAGTGTGGTGGCGAGCTCAACGACGAGCGTGCCGACCCGCTTGCAGGCGAATGTGAATTCCGACGTGGGCGTGGATCGGTCGTGGAGGATAGTGAGCAAGCTTTGCAGTTGTGGTGTCTGAGCGAGGAGGATGACGTTCGGTGGCAGTCCTGCTTCGTCAGCTGCAGATGTGCTGGAGGTAGAGTATGGCGCTGACAAGCCGAACGACTGATCGCGTTTGAGGCTTGGCTTGATATTGGCAAAGCTCGTTCGACGTTCGTTGGGCGAGCCGAGGCCCTCGTATGGGCTCATCGGAGCCACATGCGCGTCTTTGGCGGCTGAAGTGGCAATCTGTGTCGCCGGCGTCTTGTAGAACTCTGCACGCAGCTTTCTCGATCGATTGCGGAGCTGCTTCTCCATGTGCTGACTGATGACCTCGATGGCGACCTCGTTGTGCGAGCCGGGCACGATCATGTCTGCATGCCTTGCAGTAGCCGAGACAAAAGTGTCGAAAGCAGGTTTGACGTAGCGCAGATACTGATCCAGAACTGAGTTGACGGATCGGCCCCTCTCGACAATGTCCCTTTTGATCCTTCTCGCCAGCATCAAGTCGGAGTCGGCTTGAACATACACCTTGAGATCGAGCAGCTCGCGAATCTCGGGATCGTGAAGCACAAAGATGCCTTCCACGATCAGCACTGCTGGGCCATAGAGGTAGTTTGTCTCTGAAGTCCTCTGGTGCTGTACGAAGCTGTAAACGGGGATCTCGACCGACTTGCCGCCTCGCAAATCCTTGATGCACTGCTTGAGGATGTCGTAGTCGAAAGCGTCCGGGTGATCGAAATCATACTGTTCCTGGTGGGCGAGCTTGTGTTGCTCAGGGGTTAGCGACTTGTAATACGCATCTTGACTGACGATGGCGACCCAAGGCACATTGGGCAGCTTCTTGAGGATCTCTCTTGCTACCGAGGTCTTTCCACTGGCGGATCCACCTGCGATGCCAACGACGTAGGCAGGGACGGGTTCGCCGACTGAATTGTACCACGGCGCACGGCCTGCATCGGTGAGGACGATGGTCTTTGAGCGAGTCGATGCGGTCGGATTTGATGTAGCAGGTTTTCCTTTCGACGCTGCGGAAGTTGAGGATGACGAGCTCTGTGCGTGGTCTAGTGAAACAGCTGCTGCCGCAGAGGCGAGAATGCTGTGAGGAGATCCTTCCGAGGGCTTGTCTACAGGTGTCACGGGCTGCAAGATGGGTGTTCCGTTGCCAGACGGCCGCTGTACGATCTTGCCAGCCTGCATGGTCGAAGTATTCCCACGCCTCGTAACAACCAACGAGGTGACTGTTGTGACGGAAGCGAAGTAGATCGGTTCGGAAGCTGTCCGACGTTGGTGACAAAGTGAAGTCGGAAGGCATCCGTGCATGCCATTTCATCGTGGGAAAAAAATCGGCGGCAGCTCCGAAGACCCACGCCAAGGCAGGAGGAACGGGCCACCCGAAGGATCATCAACCTTAAATTTTCTTGCGCTCAGGCAAAGAGCTTTTCAGGGTCCAGCTCAAGACCCACAACTGCGCATCCGACTGCGGTCGCCTGTTAGCAACATTACACGACTTGATCGCACACCTGTCGCCACACCCGTGGGGACGACCGAATGTCTGCTGACGATGCGCAGGTCGCTACCGATGCCAGACCCGGAGTGGCCAAAATTGTCGGGAGCAGCACCGATGGCGAGGTCCTAGCGCCGTACCTCTCGCTGGAAGAACCTCGGCTTGTGCTCGACCTGCGATCCGATTCAGCCTTTCATCAAGCTCATCTGGTCGGGTCATACCACATCTCGCCCATCCCAGCACTCAGGTCTCGATACAGCTATCTTCCGCCACGAAACGTCCCCTTTCTTGTGCTGGCCGACTCTGCCCAGCGAAACGAGGTCGCCGAGGCATTTGCATCGACTCCTTCGGCTAGGCTGGTCTTCCTCACAGTTGCGGGCGCCGACATCGCAGAATCATCAGCAACCGGAGGCGTTGACTCCATTGCAACTTCAGCACGCTTCTTCGATGTAGCTTTCCGCTTCGGTCTCGCACGCAGCTCGCAATCCCACCAGCAGCGCATTATGAGAAGTGACGCGAAGGACGTAGAGGAAGACATCCCGGAGCTTCTCTTCCGCCCATCACATGCAGTGCGGAGGACAGTGCTCTCACTCGATGAGCGGCCGCATCAGTATGCCTCGCTGAGGGTACTCGATCTGGGCTGTGGAGCTGCGCGCGACCTAGCATGGATCCTGCACGGCTCGCGAACACGCCCGTCTTCATGCACCTGGACCGGTGTCGGCGTCGACAACTGGAAAGCAGCTCTTAATCGCGCTCAGCAGCTCATGGATGATCTCTACCTGACCTCAAGCTCGCTGCACGAGGCAAAAGAAACTTTATTCGCTCCGCGCTGCGAAAATTTGCTATGGGCAACGTGTACTGATGACGGACACCTTCAGCCGCTTACTGGCTCAGGAAAGGGCAAAGCGATACAGAACGCTGAGGATCATCCGGAGATCTGGGATGACTTTCGTCAGCTTGGCCTCGCGCCACTTCTCCCGGCATCGAGCGGTGCCGCCAAACAGGACATCGAGGCTGGAGAAGATGCGCAATTCGACTTAGTCCTTTGCATTCGCTTCCATCCTCGTGCTCTCTTACCTCGCTTGTCGGCACTCGTCCGCACTGGAGGCGTGGTCCTGCTAAGCCACTTTGTCACTCTCTCGGAGAGTGAACGCTCAGCAGCGAGACAGGAGCACCCGGAGGCGACGGCCGATTACGACTCGCCGCCGCACGAAGGGCGTATCCAACCCGGCGAGGTCGAGCGCCTCGTCCAGACATGGAACCAGGACGTGGGCACGAGCAGCAAATGGATCATCGAAAGCGATGTGCTCGAGCCGATAGAGGACGGAAGGATCATCCGCAGTGCTGCTCTTCGTAAGGTCGCTTTGTCAATATAGAGTCGTTCTGCCTGATGCACTTGTCTTGTGATGTTCGTGCTATGTGCAAACTCTCAGCGCCACGAAGGATCGGCTATGCTCCGGACGACGGTGTACGGCTCGAGCAGATGGGACATGAGCCAGTCGCCGTTGGGAAGATCGTTGTTATCGGCTCTCCACATCGCTTCTTCCTCGTCTTTGGCCACCCCTGTCTTGACGTGCCGCACAACGAGCCTTCTTCTCGCCTCATCCTTGTCCATCTCGAACACCAGCCGTCTATCGAATCCCCTCGCCGCTCTGGCCCACTCGCCTTCTTCACAATTGCAATAGAGCCCCTCGAACACCACCACGCGGTGCTCTGGTAGCACGGCAACATCGTTCTCGAGTGGATCCTTCTTTGCGTGATCGAAGCTGGGTGCTGTGTGTGTTTTTGAAGTATTGCTCTTGACGAGAAGGACAAAGTCGGCGAAGCGTTTGGCGTCGAAGGTCCATTCTGCCCCGCGACGGTCGAAAGCTTCTTGTGGGTTGGGGAAGGTCGAGAGTGTGGAGCGGGGATAATGCCACCCGTCCATGCCGACGCAGATGGCCAGAGAGGGTTGCGTGGCGTTGAGATCAGAGACCAGACGCACAGCGAGACTCGACTTCCCCGAGCCTGGTATGCCAGAGACGCCCACCAGCAGCCGTTCGGAGGGGTCGAGCCTGTTCGACAAATCAAGGTCAGCTCGTGTGGTCTCTGATCCTGATCGCAAGCGGTACTTACGTCTGCACTTTGGCGAGCAGCTCCTGCACGAGAGCAGCCACCTGGCCCTGCATGAGTGTACGCCACCTCACAGATTCGAGGCAGGCTCTATCGTCGATGATGATGATGACGGGAGAGTGGTGGAGTAAAGTGTCGCACGGTCCAAGAAGATTCTCGTAAAGTTATCGGTCACTTTCAGGGATCAGCGAAGAATTCACCGACAAAAATTGAGGCCACAAAAAGCACGCGGAGGATGAGTCGCACCAGCACCCCCTGATCAGGGGGTTGACCAGGTAGCTGTGCAGCTCCTCATCAGGAGGTGCCTCGGGTACAACAGCTTTGTGCCTAGATGCCCGTGCAAATACGCGAGCAAGCTCGACGCAGGTCCATCTCCCCGTCGAAGCGCTTGAGCAAGCGTGCCCCGGTCACCCCTGAGGTCAGTGAGCAACCACAACGACGACACCCGCTCCACCCCCTCGCTCTGGCGCCGACCCTCAACCCGAGGCGAGCGGATATACGCCAGCGGAGCTGGCCCTCCTCTACAGGATACTGCTGCCAGACTATCGGATGAGACAGTCTGCATACTATCGCCGTCGCCAAAGGATGTACCTCGCGCTCTACGCCACGATCATGGACGAAGAGGACGACAGCAATCAGGGAAGCGACGAGGAGGAGGATCAGGGTCATACAGCGGCTGTCCAACGCGCCAGTGCAGCACTCAAGAGGAGCCAATTCATTCGTATTGTCGAGACGGCAGCAGAAGTGTCTCGCAGACTCAGGCAGTGACCAGAGCAGCTGTTCAAGTGGCATTCGAGAGCAGCGGGTATACAGAGTCCGAAACAATCGGTTGTCTCACGAGTACGCTTTGGCACCGGCTGTCGAGCGGATCGAAAAAGGGCAAGAGAAAGGTCAGCTTCAAGCTCGAATCATACACTTCTGCGTCGCATGTCTACTCACCATTCGCGGTGACGGCAAGGATCAAGTTGAACGCCTCGTTTCTGTTCGGCAGGTTTGCCAGCAGCAGCGGCGCCTTTCCATTGTTCCTCACAATCTTCAACCCCAACGAGCTCCATACCATCAGCCGGATGCTCTTGGTCTTGATGATCGACTCGATGGCCTCGACGGGCGTACGGCCCCTCTTCTGCGACGGCGAGTGGAGCGGTGTAAAGTAGAGGTACTTGGTGTTGACATGCAGGCGACCGGGCAAGCCCTTGTACTGGCAGAAGAAGCTGCCGAGCTTGCGCGGCTTGAGCGTCGAATCCTTGCTCATCTCGACGTAGTCGACACTAGCGCGCGAGGGATCGTCGATCTGGTCGTAGGCGATGCCCTCTTCGCGCCGGTCTGGGCGAGGTTTGATCTTGGAGTTGCTTTTAGATGATTGCACTGCGCGACGGACATCGTCGGCGGTGTTCAGCTGCCCTGCAAAGCGGTCGACGTCCAGATGGCGCTTACGCAGCAGCTGCACAGCGAACTGCGCATCGGTTGGCGCTCCGAATGTGCCCCACCAGAATGGCGAGAGTGCTTTGCGATGCGATGGGAAGTAGCTCTGCAGCGGCAGGAGGCAGAAGAACGTGATTCCCAGAAAGAAGAACACCGTCTTAGAGATGTAATGCGAGGGCGCAAAGGTGACAAACAGGTTGAGCACGCCAAACAGGATCATGGTGCGTCGACTCGCAGCAGGGTTACGCCACAGGATGAGGTTCTTGACTTTCTCGTGGAAATCGGCGACATACCCCATGCCTTCCTGTGTAGGTGCACCAAATGTGATGATCCATCGCCGATAGATGTTGAGGATGTCGAGTCGACTACGTCGGCGCAGCTTCTCGGAGAGCGTGTTGGCGGCCTGCCCACGCGCCATGCGCATCTTGACCTTATCATGAAGATAACTCTCGGAGGGAGGGAAGTACTTGAATCGCATAATGTAGAACATGAGCATGAGGATGAAGGCGGTGGGGATCATGTTGGTGTACCAGAGCACAAAGTAGATCATGGCGGCTGCAGCGGTCGTCCTGGGCTCCTCCCACCGGTACAGCCGACGGGTTCGGCGGCCGAGCTGCTCCCAGAAGGGGGCGATGGTGTAGAGGCGCTCGAGATGAGAGCGGATCAAACCTTCGCGATACCGTGTGACGGGGTGATGCTCAATCTCTTCCGGGGCCAGACGCTCGACCAGGGCGAGGATGTAGGCGATGCAGAAGGCGACACTATCGATGCCTTCGTCCTCTGCATTGACACGAAGCTCGTCGTGGGCCGAGATGGCCTCGAAGCGGTCGGGGTTGCCGGAGGAGGGAACGATAAGGTCCCAATCCTCATCCAGATCGTTGGCTGCCCCGCCTTGTTTCGAAGCGCTTTTCTTCTTTGTCTTGTCTTTCGACTTCTTCTTGGACGGCGTCTGTGGCGTTGAATTGAGAGCATTCGTGTCGGAAGCAGACTCAGTGACTCCCTCTTCCTCGGTGGAACGAGACTTTGACCCGTCCGTTGTGTCTGCTTTGCTTCGATCCTGTGCTCCGTTCGGTGACAAATTGTTCGACAGATGCTGAAGACCACGGTCGACCCTGGACAGCATGGACGGCCGCTTCTTGTCCGGGTCCGCGGCTGCGTTGTCCTCTGGCGAGACACGGAAATCGTCCCACCTTGGCATCCGATACTTTTGCTGGCCGGTAGGACGGGTGACGGTGATTTCTTTTGTGTGGCGAGCGAAGCTCTGCATAAAAGTCTCGAGCTCGATATCTTCGAGCTCCAACAGCGGCTGGCTGAGAGCCTTGGAGGCGCCTCCTGAGTAGGCACTGTGGAGGCTCTGGGCATCCTTGTTTTGGCTGAGGGAGTGCGATCGCTCGCGAACAGCTTGAAGCGTGTCGAAGCTGATTCCAGCGGAGAAATCACCATTGGTGTTGTTTCTTAAGCTGTCATAGCCATCAGCCTCTCGGATGAGATGTGCAATGGTATCGTCGGAATCGTCCGAGTCGTACTCGTGGTCGTAACCAACACCGAAGAGGTCTTCGTTCTGGTCGCCTTCGCCGGCGAAGATGTCCGCTTCATGATGTAGTTTGCTTTCGGACTGTCTGGGCAGCTGGCCGTGTGAACGCTGGGAGGCATCTCTTTCGCGAATGAGTCGCGCATCGGTTCTGGCGTCTTCGGTGTTGTACAGACCTCCAGGAAAGTGCCGCGTGGCATCGCTATGTGACCTGTCTCGGTCGGTAGTCTGTTCTGGGAAGTATCGAGTTGTCTCTTCAGAGTCGCGGCGAAGATCATGTTCCTCTACGTCGCCACCCTGATGGGCCTGTTTTGGTTTCTTGCCGAAGAAACCTCGATGTCGAAGGCCATCCATGCTGCCAAACGAAGCTTGCTTCTGCTTTGCGCGCTTCTGCTGCTCTTTGAAGAGTGCCTGCTGAAGCTGATGGGCTTTCACCTCCGAGTCGCTACCATCATCTCGCTGAAATTTGGCGGGCGTGCGTGAGCCGCTGCTGGCTTGGGAATGAGGACTGCTAGATGGCTCCGCCTTGTCGTCTGTGGATGACGACTTGAACTTGGAGATCAGCTTGGATCCGATCGACTTCTTCTTTGAATGGCCTGGTGTTGGTGTCTCATTGTTTCCAGAACCGGACCTTGATGGTCCTGCGACGGCGGGACTGGTGGGTGAGGACTGACTTCTGGATGGAGTGCTGGCGTTGCTGTTGGCTGATTTGCGCTGAACCTGAGGGTAGTCTGGCACGGCGTTGAGACGACGCTCTTCGTCCGAGTCTATGGGTGGTGATCTGTCAGCTGCGGCGTCGACACTATAAGGCTCGGATGAGCCGGGAATCCGAAGCGGACTCATCGTGCGAGATGGGCTGTGCCGATCAAGGGGTCGGCCGAATGGACTTGCGCTTTCCTCGGAGGACGAAGACGGGGTGGGGTTCGGGCTTGTCCGGGATGGAAGGGAATCCGTCTATTCCATGATAATCAGGCCATTCTTGTTGCAGCGGATGGCGCGAACTGGCGCTCCTCGAGGGTGGATGGTGGGTGAAGAAGAGTGGTGGGTGGGAGCTGGCGAAACAATGGAGATGTGGATGGAAGAGACGCTGGCAATTCCAACGATGGCTGCACACTGTGCTGTACGCCGACGATCCAAAACTGGTCCGGATTGCATCAGCTGGCCATGTGGCCTCGAGACAAGTCGGCCAATTTGGCTGCGTCTTCCCCGCAATCTCTTGCGCCCTCGACTTTACTCTTTGAGAACAGCTGCTGCTGCTGCGCGAGTGACTTCGAAGTCAGCCTTGGCAGGTGGAGCAGAGCACGCTTTCAATTTTGCACGTGGAAAAGCGGCAATCCATGTTTAGCCTTAACACATATCCAAATATGGTGTGGGTGGTGGGCGGTGACGCTTGATCGTGTGGCTGCGTGGGTTGCAGCCGCGTAGAATGATGACGACGACGTCTGAAGACGCCGGACCATCTGACACAGCGTCGGTCTAAGCAAGCCAGGAGCTGCATGTAGCTCCTTCCATGACCGGTCAGCTTGTGTCAGGTCAAGCTGCAACAAGGAGACCTTTACCGGCCCTAAACCCTATTCATCGTTCCCGTTGATGTCTGAATGAATCGCGACAGATGCTACTTTTAGTAAACCCTATCATGGCCACCAAAGTTGCTGGCACTGGGACGATCGGGACGGGAGCCCTGAGCTTCCCGGCTCCTCACCCGGTCCGGTCAGATGAAGGCGCTCCCACTGGCCTTGAAGCCACGCAGATCCCACTTCCTTTCATCTACCAGTAGGTGTCTTTTAGGGGCCGCGGTCTCGACTTCATCTGTTGCAAGCGAGCACTTGTCTACCGTCACGCTGGAACTCACGGTCATGCCGAGTGTTGCCTGCAGCTGATTCGTCGATCACCAAAGGCAACGAGCATCCGCGTGGCCAGCCGGTCATATCCGCAACTCGCATCCGTTACACGCACGTTCTCGCCTCGATCGTTCCTTCATGAAACACTAGACGGAGCACACTCACTACACAGCGAACCGTAGCTGTACGATGAGCAGCAGTGGCTGCTTTCGGATACACTCGGCATCATGCACGTTCCTCTTCCTCGACTCCTCCTCCTTTTGCTGCTCATCACGCCGCCATCCGAATCGTCGCGCTTGACGCAGCACTCATCTGATCACCACTTGCGAGACCACGACAGGCATGCTGTCCTGGTAGAGAAGCGCCTGCTCAAAGCGGAGCTGCCCGACAAGCTCAAGGACTGGCAAATCTTCCAGGATGGCAATCCCATCCGCGAAGGCGTTCGCAGCAAGTACGCATCCGCTCTTCGCTACATCGACAAGATCAAAGAGCCCTATTCGTTCGCCAAAGGCATCAAGAAGGAGTGGAGGTACGAGCCTGATCTGCGGCGACATTACTTCCTACCGAGAGTGCTGCGTGTGCCGCTCATACTCCAAGACGGTCCTTTTCGGTACAAGAAGGAGCTCACCGGGTTCATCAAGGGTACCGATGAAGATCTTGGTCTGCAGACGGTTGCCAAACCGCATCTGCCAGAGATGGCTGAAGAGCAAGGTGATGAAGCTGCACAGTCGAAAGCTGGCCTTTCAGGTGGAACAGAGCATGACGACGAGATGTCGGTTCCGAGCGGGTCTCGCAGACCTGGCAGAAGACCACGCACTCGTCGGTTCGAGCGCCAGCCCGGGTTCAATCCGTTCCGTCAGGTACCAGGGCAGGACCTTGGCCCTCCTCGTCATCCAGTGCCTGAGATCGAGTCTGACGACTCGGCACACCTTCCCTGGGCCGGTGGATCCCAAAGCACGGCCGAGAGTCGTCGCCCGAGCGATGGCGATCGACAACCTTCGCTAGACCAACAGAGCGCTGGGCAGGCGAGGATCGTGGAGCCTTTGAGCAACGCCTTTGTCGGTATGGGGGATAGGTACAGAACACTGCAGAACTTTCAAGAGGAACAGATACGAAAGGCAGCGATGCGCTACTCTGGTCATCCAGAGCACATCCCGTCAGGACAGCAGGACGGCGGCTCGATGCCCTCTCGGTCAGCCCCTGTACAAGCTCCGACGCCAGAACAGAGTCACAAGCATGTCGGCGATCCCGCAGAAGCGGATGCAGATGTCTCGAACCCCATCACACCTGACCTCAGCACGCCAGGATCCTTTACGCCAGAGCACGCTCGAATGAGCCCAGGATGGGCGCGCTCGCCAGAGCTGCGTACTCCTTTGGGTGGCGATCCATCTCCACGCGTCTCCACGCCTGGTGCTATGACTCCTCATTCGCAACCAGGGACAGGCGGCCACACTCCACTGTCCATGTTCAGGCTACCTGTTGACTATGCCGAGCAGCTACAAGCTGCGCGCGCCCGACTGGAACAGGAGCAGCTGAGCCACGAACATGCAAGACCGAGCGTCGCTCCGGCGACGACGTTCGGGCCAAAAAGTAGCTCGAGCGCCAGTGTGGGCTGGTACGCCGGTCAACCATCGCCAGAAGCCCAGCGCAATGCACAAGAGGCTGCGCAGTGGAACGACGTCGACTATGCCATCTACCACCCGGATCCGTTCAGACATGCCAAGATATCGGCCGCCAAAGTGTATCCGCTGAGGGACCAGGAGATGCGGTCAGGTACCGTGACGCCGTCCATCGAAAGCGAGACGCACAAGAGCGAAGAAGACGGCTCTGGCAGGGAATCTCGTCAAGGTGCGGAAGGGACCGCGAACGCACCTCAAAGCATCGAACGCGATCTGCGCAAGGACGAGGAGATGAAGGACGTCTCTCCGTCGAGCGGAGCCTCTGCTCCTCCATCTGCTCCTGCTGCTGCCGACGTCGAGCCGCCCTCCCACATCGACGAAACCACCTCGTCCGATGTCCCTGCCAAAAAGCGCAAGCGCCCTCCTAAGCTCCAACCCACCTTGAAGCGCGTGCAGAGCTTCCTCTTCCCGACCGCAACCGAGCATACGGAGCTCACCTCGCCGCACCTGCGAGGCTTCAAGCCGTCCTTGTCGATCAAAGAAGAACCGAATCCGGACTTCGACCCCACAGATCCACGCAGCTCGCCCGGGCTGGTGTTTCGTCGTTATCGGCTGGCACACTCCTCGAAGGGCTCAGTGCAGAAGGGAAGACACAGGCTACAGCGTCTACCGTCGTTTGAGACGTCGCGCGAGTCAACGACCCAAGAGTCCCGCGATGGGCCATCGCCACGATAGTCGTGCGGGTGATGCGATGCGGTTCGCGGTCGACTCGGCTGGCCGAAATCACCGTGCTTCTCTGACTCACTCGTTGTTCGTCGACGTTGGTCTTATTCTTTCTGACAGTCCACTTGCCTGCCTCATGGCCTCATGTCATTCCTTCACAATTCACATGCTCTTCATTCAGCAACCGGGCGTTTGCGTGAAGAACCTCGCCTTAGAATTGATGCAGACAGAGCAAATGACTCAATCACGACGACTGAGGACGGTTGGTGATCCCACAGATCAGCTCAGCCAGCAGCTCGTCGCCCGAGCCAGACGCAATGATAGCCTGCTGCTTCTGGATCTCCTCCTCAGTCCTCGCGCCTCCTCTCGCCTTACCGACCAGACGCTGGTTGCGGAAGTAGTGCGAAAGCAGGAAAGCGACATCGAGCGACTGTTCAAAGTTGAGCCTAGGGTCGCAGTGACTCTTGTAGCCGCGCTCGAGATCTTTTGGCTCCAAGCGCATCGAGCCTCCGAAGCACTCGGTGACGTCCTTGTCGCCTGTCAACTCGAGATGAACACCGCCGAGGTGGAGAGTCGGGAAGTCGGACGAGATGATCTGAAGGAAGGAGAGGATCTCGGAGATGATGTCGCCAAACGAGCGAGTCTTGAGCGGCTGCGCATTGGGATCGGAGGACGCAGGCGGGTAAGGGCTGGTCTGTGTGTTGCCATGCATAGGATCGCAAAGGAGAATGATCGAGTCTTTGTGGTTGCTGGCTGCGATGGCCTCGAGCAATGGTGGCAGATGCGAAGCGACCTTGCCGGCACCGAGACGGATGATGACCATAACGCGACCTTTCTCCTTGCCGTAGACGACGTTCGATGCACCGCTGGGCGTCGACCAGCCACTCGCACGGCCAGACGAAGCAGATGCGGGAATGGCGACATCCGGGTTGAGGACATCCAGGATCTGGATCAGCTCCTCCGGCTTCATGGACGGACCGACCTTGATGCCAACTGGGTTGCGAATGGAGGAGAAGAAGTCGACGTGTGCGCCATCAAGCTGTCTTGTCCTGTCACCGAGCCAAATAGTATGCGCCGACAAATCGTATCGCTCGAAGTCGTCTTTGATATCGGGCACGTCCGAGGGGTGGACGTTGCGAGCTGCGTGAGGATTGGCTGTTGTCGGCTTACGTACCAGCCTCGTCAGGGCTTCCTCGTAGGCAAGCGAGAGACCTTCGTGGCTGATAAAGTAGTCGACCGAGTTGAGTACGCTGCTAGAGGCAAAGGTGCTGGGATCCGCTCCAATCGTTTTCATAAAGTCGAGTGCGTCCGTCAGCGAGTCGACGACCGATTCGAACTCGGCTTGGAGTGCGCTGGACTGGACGTGTTGGAAGGACCACTGTCGGGGAGCGTGGAGGTCGGCCAGACCGCTGGCCAATTCGGAGCGGATATGATTGAGTGTAGCTGCGGAGTGGAAGTAGGCCTGGAGCAGGCGTTCAGGATCTGGAATGCGTCCACTTGCCGGCTCTGGGCTAAAAGCGTTGATGTTGTCGCCGCGGAACGAGATGATCTCGTGTTTGGACGTCTCGCCCGTAGCAGGGTCGACCTTGGTGATGATCTCGGTAGGCTTGGAGCGCGGCTTGGCGTACTGACCAGCAATACGACCGATACGAACGACTGGCTTGCGAGCGCCCCAGATGAGAATGAGACTCATGAGTAGCGAGAGTTTGAGCTTGGCTTGGATCTGTTCCGGATTGCAGTAGTCAAAGAGCTCTGCGCAGTCGCCGGTCTGGAGTAGGAAGGCGTTGCCCTCTGCGACAGAGGCTAGCTGCGATCGGAGACGGTCGATCTCGTTGGGTGAGACGAGGCCCGGCAGACGCTCGATCCTGTCCATGACCGATTGGAAGGCTTCCTTGGATGGGTAGTCGACTTGCTGTGCCTCCTTCTTGGACTTCCAGGTGGGGTTAGCATGGTAGCTTCGCGTTGACGCCGAAGCGCCTGCTGCAGTGGATGTCGACGACATGTTCGCTGCCGAGAATGATCGATGGCGAAGGGCGAGAGAGATGATATGGTGGAGCTGAGCCTGGCCCAAAAATCTCTCCTCTCCATGGTCACCGAGTCACTTTTTTTTTTGGCCGGTGATCAGCGTCACTTCTTCGCAAAGACCCTTTCGCAAAGTGCACTTTTTTTCGACCTGCAAACCGTCATGACCGAGGATCCGCCGGCTAACAAATTTAGGATTTGTGATTGTTAGGTCGAGATAGTTCCTGCCAGTCAGAGCGATCGAATCGATCTCAAGCAGCCCCGATTGGGCCATCTTCGAAGCGCCTCGTCGTGTTGTCACATCAGCCACCGAGGTCAGGCAGGTGCAAACCAAAGACCCAGGCACCGCCGAGGCCATTCCACATTCTCCATTGTCTCTCGAGGCAATGCATGGTCGGAGGAAGTCCACAGCTATCCCGCATAACGGACCTTTCCGATAACGTAGCTCAGCAACGTGGGCGTCTTGCTGCAGATCAATGGCGTCGATGTCTTCAAGGAGGTTGGCCGCAGCGGAGTCGGCTTCAACGGCGTCAGCTCCACCGTCAAAGCCGTTGCTCGCGTGCGCAGCGATCTCGTGTGGCTTTTGCGGGGTCGACGAAGCCGAGGCGCGGGGAAGATGGGGATAAGATCAGCAACGAGACACGAGGCACAGGGCATGTCCACACTGACCTCGGCTATCAAACAAGGGGACCAACGTGTGGTCTGAGGAACGCCAAGAACGAGGCCCTGCGGGTTTTCAGTGTGGGGAAAGCAAGCCACTGGGATTGACAACACGAGAACAAAAAGCTTCCGGCATTCGTCGCAGCCGGAGCGGCAGAAAAGAAGCACACATCGTTGACCTCTTTCCGCGGAGATCACAAACCGAGGGTCGTTCGACGTGGCTGAGCCCCTTTCGCTTTCAAAGCCCGCCCACACATCGACCGCAGCGCCTTGAATCACGCTTCCCACTAGCCGTCAAAGGTCGTCTCATTCCGCCGTCGAGAGACCGCTAGACGCGGACAGTCGACAAGGGAGCCGACGTCATGCTCCCACCCGAGCGCAAAGGAAAAACTACAGTAGAGAGGGAGCAGCAATTTGCACACGAGCAAGACATTCCGAGGAGCGGGACACGGGCAAGGGATCGACGCGGGGGATGCGTGGTGGCTGACAGGGTTTGAACTCAGACGCTTCTTCTCAACCCGGAGAAGGAGCCCAGCTGCGCGGCTAAACATCGGCTTTGGACACTGTGGTGCAAGCGCCCTGTTGGACGGGTTCAAGGTCGCACCGGGCCAATTTTGAGCTCGAGTTCGCCTTCGACGCTCGCTTAACCGCCTCATTTCGACAACCGCTGCTCGATGATTGGCGCGATCCGCTCTCGCTCTCCTCCGGCACAAATTTTTGCCATTGTTGCCGTTCGACCCTTATTGAAGCCGACTGCATACCTGACTCGACTCGCACCAATGTCAACCTCGCTTGCCACTTCCGCTCGTGCAGCTGCTTTGCTTCCCATGCAGGGCGGGACCATTGAGGTGGGCGCCAAGAATATCGTTCAGTCCATTTATATCCGAGCGGTCCCTCCGCCACTTTGATCGCACATGTGCCCACGCATCTCGTCGCGTTGCTTAGCTCTCGCTCGAACTTTACTATAAGAAGTCTCGAGATCGTGCTGATCTGAGATCGACCCTTCGTACCTCTCCCTTGCTTCCTCTCTCCATCTCCATCCCCAACGCGGAACGTTGCTCAGCATGTCCGCCCAAGCTCCCGCCTCAGAGCTGCCACACCAGCCCGAACCATCCTCCCCATCGGACAGCGTCCACGACACCAAGGGCAGCCAGCTTCAGACCGCCAACCGAGCCGACGATGACATCGACAACCTCTCCGCCGAAGAGCACGCCGCTCTCGAAAAGTCGCTCAAGAAGAAGCTCGATTGGCAGATCGTGCCGTTGTGCTTGATGCTCTACCTGCTATCTTTCCTTGACCGTACCAACATTGGACAAGCTCGACTCAACGGTCTCGAACAGGATCTGCGCATGAGCAGGGATGGCAGGGACTACCGCATTGCCCTCACTGTGCTCTACGTTCCCTACATCGTCTTCGAGATCCCCTCCAATCTGCTCGTCAAGAAGGTCGGTCCAGCTCGCTGGATTCCCCTCCTCGTCGTCTCTTGGGGTCTCGTGTCCACCCTTCAAGGCCTTGTATCTAACAAGACTGGACTGTACATCAACCGCGCTTTCCTCGGTCTCACTGAGGCCGGTATCCTGCCAGCACTTGCTCTTTACCTGACCTTTTTCTACAAGCGCGAAGAGCTCGGTCTCCGACAGGCCCTCTACTTTTCGGGCGCCTCGCTCTCCGGCACTTTCGGTGGTCTCCTCGCCACTGCCATCGGTCTCATCAAACGTCATCCCGGAGGATGGGCTTGGATTTTCATCATTGAAGGCATCTTCACCGTCTTCTTTGGCATCGCTTGCTACTTTATCTTGCCCAACGACATCTCGAAGCTGTGGTGGGTGACTCCCCAAGAGCGTAAGCTAGCATACGCCCGCATGGCTCCTCCCGTCACCAAGAAGACCACCACCGACTCTGAGGCTGTCACCGACGTGCCCGCCACAGCCGAGAAGCGCGTTGCTGCCGTTGCCGACGAAGCCTCGCTCGAGTACACTGGCAAATTTGTTCTGCGTGAAGTGTGGCGCACCTTCACCGATCCGCTCGTCTTGCTCTTTGCTGCGTCCGGATACGCCTACGCTACCTTGCTCTACTCGAACGCCTTCTTCAGTCCTACCATCATCAGGTCGCTCGGCATCGCCAGATCGACCGCGGAATCTCAGCTGCTCACGGTACCGCCCACGTTCGCCGCCTTCTTTGTGTCGGTCACGTCGGCGTTCCTCTCGGACAGGTACAGGTGGCGATGGATCTCGGTCGTTCTTCTGATCATCCTGTCGATCATTGGGATTGCTCTCGCGTACGCCTCGAACGTGGCCGCCCAGCGTTACGGCGGTATCATCATCCTCTCCTGCGGTACCTACTCGATCCCGCCTCTCGGAATCAGCTGGATGCTCAACAACACCGCCGGTCTCTACAAGCGCGCTACCGCCATCGCCCTTTACATTGTCTTCACTAACAGCGGCGGCATCACCTCGACCTGGCTTTTCTACAACAACGAGGCACCTCGCTTCAAGCGTGGCTTCCTCGTCAACCTCTGCCTCAACTGTGCTGCCATCGTGCTCGTCACGCTCGCCGAGCTGTACATGATTTGGGAGAACCGGGCACGCAAGGCGGGCAAGCGCGACCACCGCGTCAACAAGCTCAAGGAATTCGGCTGGGGCGATGCCAAGATCCGAGAGTACCTCGGTGACCAGCACCCCGAGTTTGAGTACATGCTCTGATCTCGTACCATTCATCAAGGGACTTGTTTTGTACACAGGCCGCCACGCTGTACTTTGTTATGCAATTGTCAATTGTCACGATCCGAAACCCATCTATAGTGTAGTGTCCAAAATTGCTTGCCATCTGAGAAGACGCTTTTCCTCGCTTACGAGCTCGACTTGGTAAGGGGGTAGTGTCCGTAGCCGGAGTATCGCTTCTCGAAGATGCTTTCGAGGAGTGACGAGGGCCACATGACAGCCCAAATGCCGACAGCGACGAGCAGAGGAGCAGCGTCGAGGACGAAGAGGTAGATCTCGTGCGACACGAGGTAGCCGCCGTAGCCTTGAGAGAATTCGATGATACGGTAGATGGACCTAATAATAATAAAGATCGACGAGAGGTAGAGACCAGCGACGAGGGCAAACACGGGCTTCTCGAGACCCATGATCAAGTCCGACTTGATGTAGCCAGCGTTATTGCGGGCGCCTTCGCGAATGATGAGGACGGTGGCGTAGGTCAGGAGGAGCGTGAAGAAGATGTACGAGGCACCTTGCAGGCTGACACCGGTCAAAAACATCTTGTCTCCGACATCGACGAGGTTGAGAGCGCCGGTAGCCTGGAGACCACCCGCCGCGATCTGGACCACAAACGTGATGACATCGCTCCAGACGAACACGGTTCCGACGATGCGAGGGGGGATGAAGGAGAAGCGCGACTTTTCCGTCTTGGGTCCTCCGGCTTTCTTCATCATGGTGATCCTTTGCGTTGCGGTCAGCGGCTGGCTTTCAAGCGATTGTGCATCGACGTTCGAGCTACCAAAATCCTTGTCGACGGCAAGGATCATGCGTCCGTACAGGAGATAGTTGAAGGCGAGGAAGGCGGCGGGCGAAATGACGACGAACATGCTCTGGATGATGTAGAGACCCAGGCTGACGTTGTACGGATCGATGGAGGGTCGCACAATGAAGCCAACGGCCGAGCAGAGACAGCCAATCGGCAAGCAGAGTGCCCAAAAGTCTTTGCGACGGAAGACGTAGAAGAAGGTGAGCGCGCTGAACAGCGCGTAGGCTCCACCAACGAAGTAGTTGCCTCCCTGACTTGGGACATATTTGAGGATTCCGGTGGGCGAGCTTTCCGCTGCAGCTGCCAAGATGGTCTTTGTAGCCGACATTGTGATCGTAAGACGGGGGCAGAGGATCAGACAATGCAGGAGTAGGGAGAGGAGGGAGAAGAAGGCGAGGTGGCTGGGTACAGATGCGGAAAGTCCAAACCAAGGAGACAGGTGATCTTATATACGTACACGAGCACACGCGGTTGTGACAGCTGCCATTGTGCTGTCCAACATGAGCCGGGAGTTCAAAACAATAGTGAAACCTTTGCAACGGTACAAGCTCGGATGGCGCAAGGGAAGTTTTGCCAAGATGCATGCGTGGCGTCGTTTGGCCCTGTCGAACGCGGGGAGAAAACAGCGAGGACCCTGGCAGGCGTGGCAAGACCGCGGACTTAAATTAGATCGTGCTTGTCGCTCAGACATCTGCCTACAACGCATCCGAGCGACGAGGAGAACATGCATGGTCCTTCTTTTCATGTTCTGATGGCTCGGCTAGCCTCTCAAACTTTACACCTTCGAGATCGATAGTAAGAGCCTCAAGAGAAGCAGCATGTTTGAAAGGTCTTGCTGTGCTAAACAACGCCTTCCGTGTAGCGGACCAGCCTGGCCGGACGATTTCAGGGTTGCAGGCCTGCACGCCGTCACAAAAATTCTTCGCTTTCTGCCTTCGCGATCGAGTCGACGTGCGATCTGAGCTTCATCGCCGACTAAGCGTGACCATTGCGTCTGTGGGAACGCCTAAGCCAGTCTTCATCCGGAAGCACTATCTCTGACCGGCGCAACCCAAGGGCAAGCTTCAGCAAGCATACAAAGCTACAAGGGAGGACTGTTTCGTGCGAGTTTGTGGTTCGGCATGTCCGGCGGGGTTTGGGCCAGATGGGTTCAGCGCGGGCAACGGGCGAAACCCGGCGGATGAATTTCGCATTAATTCACCCGCGAAAACGTGGACCGCGGGCACAGAGCTTGTGGTGCCCGAGAGCCGCGTGCGCTGTGCCAAGGCGGAGATGCCTCGGTGCACAGCACAGCATGAAATTCTTGTCGCGTGTTCCGAAGTGCCGGTCCACGAGCGGGGCGTTCACAACAGTCCGCGGCTCAACTTGGAGTGGATGAACTACCGTAGAGAGACCTTGCCCCTTGCGTCGCTTCTGTTGCTGGAAGGAGATCAAACAAAACGTTTGCAACCGCGAATGCCTACCGCGGTAGGCATTCGGAAACCTGGCTACAGAATAACAAAGCAGGTCAGGCAGGGGTCAAGACGTTCGGATCAGAAGTAAGGATTGCCTAGTCAGAAGAGCTGGTCTACATCTCGCAGGAAAGCTTCCAGGTCAAAAGGCATGTTCGCATCAAAGATGCTGGCGTTGAGAAGTCCAGCTGAGCTCGCCATCGGCGTGGTAGCCGCGGTCATGTGGGACGACGGTGGATCGTTGCTGCGTCCAGTCCACGTAGCATCCAGAGAACCCGTGCTTGCAAAAGATGATCGAGTCTCTCTCGATGCTTGCGGGCTGATGAGCGGGTCTATGCCGATGGTTCCATTCCCAGTGGAAGCGTGCGACCGAGCCGTGGCGGCGTCGGCAAGGAAGTCCATAGCGCTAGCTGACTGCGGCGCAGGAAGATCGTCGGGCACTGCTTTGTTTTGTGGATCTTGACCTGCACCCTTGCCAGCGTTTGCCAGTTGCGAGCTCCAGCTCGTCTGGATATTAGGCACAGGGCGGTACACACGATAGTAGATCTCCCACAGGTGCGCGGTCTCGACCATCTCCTCGATGTAGTCCGCCGAGACTTGAGCAACAGTGTCGACACTGTCAATCGAGCAAGCCGGAGAGAAGCGTCGAACGGCTTGAGCTGCCGCTTCCATGAGCGTCACAGACAGCAGAGACTCGGGGGGCGAGTGGGCGAATGCGACGAGACTAAAGGCAATCGTCTCGAGTGATCGGCGAGCTGCGTACACCGTCATGGCACAAATCAGTAGGGTAGGAAGTCGATGCAGATAGCGGAAAGATGTCTCGTGCCTAGAGTCGGCATGTCGTCGCCGAGAAGGTTGACGATCCATCTGCTGTATGGTGGCCAGTAGAGTACGACACACCTCGTGGCCTCTCAATCCCACCTCGCCAATGTGCTTATGAGGATCTACTTGTTGACAGATCAAGCGTACTAGCGGGGCGGTCTCGAGAGCTGCGTCCATCTTGCCCGAGAGGAGTGCCGAAGTCGCATAGCTTGCATAGAGCAGACTGGCGAAGCAGCATTCGGCATGGACGAGCTGCTCCCAAGCACGTACAAGTCGTTGTCCCGCAAAGATGCCTGCGTCACCGTGAGCCAAAAGTCTCGAGTCAGCCGCGATGCTTCTTCTTGCCACTGGTGGTCCGTTGCTGTCAAACTTACCCAAATCTTCCTTCGACTTGTGCCTCACCATCATGATATCGTCATGTGCCGTTCGGGAGATGACAGAGATGCGTTCCCACTTCTCCTCCGGCGACAGGCTTAGATTTGAGAGCGTATCTTGTAGCTCTTGCAGGCAGCTGAACAGAGTGCAAGTCGATTCGAGACGCAAACAAAGCACCGAACGCCCCGCCGAGCGCAAGATGCCGTCCCTACCGAGCTGGGTCTCGAGACTCGAGCAGAACTCACGCATCTCGTGGAACGACTGAGCAGTGGGTCCGCCGGCATCCTGAAGGCGAGGTGCAGACGGCAGTGATCTCCCGTCGTCATCGATGCAGTACAGTTCCTTACGTATGGTCGAGGCAAATTGCCGGTTGAGGTCTTGCGGCGCCGTGATCTTTTCACCTAGGAACGCATAGACGCCTTCCCATGTTCGCAGGCAGCACCATAGGCTAATGTTGGCCAGTCGTGTCGTTGAAGTGCCTCCCGTCTGCGTCAATGCTTCGTCCAACCGGAGCTCCCTGGCGATCTTGACGGCGCAGGTGAAGAGGTTCTCGGAGGCAAGACCAAAGCCGCGCCCTTCTGGTTCAAACTGAGAGGCGCCGGTTCCGATGAGTCCAGGCTCGTGGGCTAGGAGCAGCTCAAAGGCCATCACCAGATGAATGTCTCGCGGTGTTGAGAAGAGGAGCTGGGTGCCAAGCCGATCGATGTAGCTTGAAAGAGTGCGGACGTCCGACGATTCCAGCTCGTCCTCGATGCCCTTCAAGCCAAGCAGAGTCATGGTAGCGATCAGAAGGGACCGAGGCCGTGTTGCGCTCTTCGCTTGCTCCTCGTGAAGAGCCGCAAAAGATGGCAAGTACGGATGCCCAACAAGGTAGTCTTGCAGCTGCAGGTCCAATTGCCTCGTTCGATCGAGCGGCAAGAACGACATCACGTCTGGCGTGGAAGATGGAGCGTCGATCCGCAGCTGCAGATACTTGGTGTACCTGCGTTCGTGTTGCAGACGATCTATCAAAGCGTGGAGTGTCCTTGACAAAGCTTTCCAAACCTTGGGCCGACTCAGCAGGAGGTGCTGAGCATGATCGATCTCGGCAGCCGCCAACTGCTCGTTTTGCGACGAGTCTGAATTGCTCTTGCTGTTTCGGCGATGACGACTCGAGCTCGAATTGACTTGCTTGCTGACTGCTCGATGGTCCTGGTGGTGATGTCTGCTGGCGCTGGCTTCTCTCGACGAGGCTCCGCCCACGTTGCTGGAAGACCCCGACGGTTCCACACCCGATGCCGGATCGCCTTGGGGGTCCAGTTTCGGCTTGCGCTTGCGGTCACCGTCCCAGACGATGCAGTCAATGCCTAGGACGTTGCATCGGTGGCATTGTTTGTCGCTCGGCAGGGGAATCTTGGTGCTGTCAACGTAGATGTCTGGAAGCTCACATCGTGCTTTCTTCTCGCGGCACCGGAGGCAGCTCCGTTTTGCCAGAGGACGCTTCTTGGGCAGCATCAAGGTTCGATGAGGTCGTAAGAAGCGGATGTCACTGCTTTTGAGGTGTGCCGGAGGTGTTGACGTTGCAGCATTGGGCCTCGGAATGTGGTAGGACCACACGAAGAGCTAGCCGGATTTCGGAACGTCAAGAAGAAATTTAGAGCTCAGCTTGCAGGGCTGAGTCGAACAACGCAGCCTTCTTCCTTTCTATTGAACACCTTCACCATTCACAGCCATAGAAGCCGCAGCATGTCCAAACCGACCCTCACATTCGTCACCGGCAACGCCAACAAGCTGCGCGAGGTGCAGCAGATCTTTGCGCTCTCGCCCAACTTTCCCTACGAGCTGACCAACAAGGATCTCGACCTGCCGGAGATCCAGGGTACCACACGCGATGTCGCCCAAGCCAAGTGTTCCGCAGCAGCCAAGGCGCTAGGCGGTCCTTGCATCACCGAAGACACTGCGCTTGGCTTTCATGCTCTCGGCGGCCTGCCAGGACCTTACATCAAGGACTTCATGAAGACGATTGGGCACGATGGGCTCAACAAGATGCTAAACGGCTTCGAGGACCGGTCTGCCTCGGCGATTTGCACGTTTGCCTACTGCCCAGGGCCAGATCAGCCGGTACAGCTGTTTGAGGGCAAGACGGAAGGCGTCATCGTTCCCGCTCGTGGGCCAACAGCCTTTGGCTGGGATCCCATTCTCGAGGTCAAGGGAACGGGGCAGACGTACGCAGAGATGGACCCCAAGTACAAGAACACGCTCTCGCACAGGTACAAGGCGCTGTCCTTGCTGCAGGAGTACCTCGTCAGCCTCAATGACAAGGCCTAAACACACGGGGTTCGACCGATTCAAGCCGCTCATCCTCTCTATGATCATACTGGAACATATGGACTTCTTATCATCAGCATTCATCAATACTCGATGGGCATTCTGCAATGGACAATTGTAATCATTTCCTTAAATTCAAACAGCATTCCACTCAGAGACCGAGGAGGCCCTGGTCGCCGGCGATGGCGTTGGGAGCGTTCTGGAGGCTAGACTGGAGGCCGGAGGAGGGGTCTGGGAGGGCGACAGCGAAGGGGACGGTGCCGAGAGCCAGCTCGACGCCGGCAAAGTCGGAGAAGGTCTTTGCGTAGGCCAACTCCTTTGCAAGATCACCAACGCCGTTCGATCCAGGAGCAGGAGCAAATTGCAGCGTGCTCAAAGTGCCGAAAGCCTGGCCGTTCTTGTCGAAGAAGCCACTGCCGCTGTCACCGGGGACACCAGGGGTAACAGTGGCGACGTTGTGCGACCATCCCTCGCCCTCGTCCTGGATGTTGACACCGTACTTGGGGCTGAGCAGCGTGATGCCTTGGCGGAGGATCGAGTTGCCGTAGCTGTACACCTGCTCGAAGTTGGACAGGCCCGACGAGCGGAGGCCGTCCGGACCGCCGAATGTGGGGACGGTGGGGTTGACCTTGTCGTAATCCGCAGGGTCGATGCGGACGAGGGCAAAGTCGTTGTACGCGCACGCGTTGACGTCTTGCTCGCCACGCGCCTGCATGCGGATCCACGACGAGTAGGCAAGAACACCAGGGCGAGAGGCACCAGTGATGGTCACCTGCGTACCCTCGGGGAGAGAGCCAGAGGTGCAGCCGTCGGTCGAGGTCGACTCGCCCGTGCCGGCACAGTGCGCAGCCTGCCCAATGTACAGCTCGTCACCCTGGTAGAAGATGAAGTTGGACGTGCAGCTGCCGGCCGTGTTGGTGTTGACACCGGGGTGGATGGTGGCCGTGTTCCTGTCGGCAAAGGTAGGGGCGCGCTTGACGGCGATGGGCGAGGCCACCACCGACGAAACGACGGTCAGAGCTGCAGCGAGCGACTTGAACGAGGGAGCGATCATTTTGGAGAGTGTCTGTGGGATCGAGTGATGGGACGAGGAGGGGCTGCTTGTTGAGAGCAGTCTGTCTAGTCAGAATCGAGCCTCGTCTTATATCTTCTTCGATGTCTCGCTCAAGACCGGATATTACCCTGCAAGTGACAGTTTCATGCCGGCATCGTCGAAGCAAGATCTGTTCGTGGGAGGGCTCAGGTTTCACCTGCACATAGGCGTGGCCTCCATGTTGCAACGATGAAGTTGCGTGCGCAAGGCAGCCAAGCCCCTCGCCAACAACCTCGTGCATTAGCGCATATGGAATGATCTCTTCCGAACTCGGATGTGGTGAGGGAGCGGGGTAAGTGTTGCGCACAAAGGCTAAGCGAACAGCCGCAGGCAGTTTCGGCTATGTTTGAATAGAGGTTACCCCCTCCTATCACTCCGAGAGGAATCTCGCACGACCAGGTTCGCCGACCTGCCTTGTCTTGAAACGAAATGACAAATAGAAGCGGCTTATGCAGGAAGAGTCTCATCTTTGACATGGCATGAATATGGTATGAGGCGCAAGCCACGATCTGCTTTCGCCGCCTATCGACGTTCTTGCGGTCCTGGCGCTCCGGCTTCACGCCATGTAGCTAGAATCGTGCACTCGACTATCCCGCCCGCTACGTGCAATCCCACTCGGACATCATATTCGGCTATTGGAGTACAGCCGCGAGTGCCCATCGCGAGAAAGGTCAAAGTTTGACGCTGACTGCCAAGCAGCGTCGGCAAGCAATTGCTAAGCGCGATCTCGGTTGGGCAGCGTCTGGGCGTTTGGCGAGGCTAGAAATGGATTACCCGTTCCAAAATAGCAAAGCGACCAGCAGCTGGTGGGCACCGCCGAGATTCCAGGGTGCACTACTTTCACGCGTGGACGCGGGTGTGTTGTGTCCGCTCATCCGCTGTGAGAGAGTTGTGGCCATGACAGCCGGATGACAGCGCGGGGCGCAAAATTGGTCCATGACAGCGGATCCGCTCGCACCACATGGGCTGACCGCGCCCGTATTACCCCGCTCTACAGGAGCCCCTCCGTCGATGAAGGCTAGTGAGATATCCGCCCGGCGAGTTGACCGTTGGTGTCGGCGGAACCTTGTTGTCCGTCGGAAGACAGCTGGCCGACGAACATGCCCGGCTTGGCGAGTAGCTTGGCGTGTGGAGCCGAAGGTGTCGAGCGGGGTCGAAGAAGAGCCTTTGCCGAGCCACACCACCAATGTACGAGCTGCTCTGTATAGGCAGGCGAGCTTCACACGTCAATGCCTGATGATGCTAGTGACGACAAAGGTAGTCTTGAGGCGATCTGAGAACGCTGGTGACCGCTGCAGCTGACGGGCACCGCAAGATGGCAGGAGTGACAAGCGGCAGCGGGTCCTTCAGGTTGGGATTGCATTATGAGACAGTGCTACTGTGATGAGCAGGAGCATGTACATCACGCCGAGCCGATTGAACCTTGGGGTGGACGGCGCCGTCGAGCTCGTAGTCGAACGGATGTTGCACAGATCCGCTGGGGCCGCCTTTGCGTGGTTGAGCGTGGAGAAGCCGGTCCATTTCATGCCCGCCTCTTTGGCGCAGGTGACGTTGTAGCCGCCCTTGACCGTCGTCTGGATGACCTCGAAGTCGCTGCACACTTGCGAGCGAATGACAGGCATACCAATGTTGCAAGCCGGATAGAACTGCGGGGCGGTGATGAAGAAGTAGGTCGAGGTCGAGTTGGACGACATCTGCGGATGTGATTGCTGGCGGTAGTATGTAGAAGCAGCTAGCAGCTGACGAGCGAGCACAGAGGCTCTACGAAAGAATGTGCTCCGATTACCGTGCGTCAGATGAGTGCGAGTGGATGGTGGTCGTCGCTATCCACGATGGCCGGCGGTCTGATCATCGGTATGAAGGCTTAAATGCCGAGTTGCTGCTCCGGCTGCAGGCTGATTCACATTCTGGAAATTGGCCGATTTTTGGAGCGAAGGCAGCAACAGCAGCAGCAGCAGCAGCACGCTCAGGCCGTGGCTAAACCGGCGCTTCGGGCATCAAAAAGGGTACAGCCGAGCTCAAGATAATCGCAAAATTTGTGATGTTGCACAGGAAGAAACTACTCACGCTTCATCACAAACTCAAACCATCACACTTCGCACGCCTCTTTCGGTTCATCACATCGATCGCAAACAATCGCATCTAGTCACGTTATCAAGGCTGCTGTGAGGGAAAGCAAGGCTTAGTTGGCCTGCGTAGCTTTGCTGATGCGCTCGATCAACTCCATATAGAGACCCGTCACGATTGGTCAGTCTCCTGCCTTGCTCATCTAATCAACCACCTCCGTCGCTAACATGGATCTCAAGATCCTCAGCACCACCGTCAACGACATCTTTCTCCATCCTCAGGTGCGATCCGAGAACGAGACCCCCGAAGAGCAGGAAGCCGCCACCGTGCAAATCATTATCCAGCTCAGCATCCCTGCAAAGACGACACCACCATCCAAGCTGCTCAATCTTACCGCCAGCTTAATCGGCTATGAATCGATTGGCTTTCCCAAAGGCGGCTTCGAGCAGAACCAGCCCTACTACAACAAAAAGACGATCGACTCAGCCACCGATCTCAAGCTGGAAGCAGGATCTATCTATCAATTCGAGGTGTCTTTCCGCGTCGACAACAGCACCGCCCCTTATCAACGATGCAAATACGGCAGGCACCATCAGAAGGTGCAGGTCAAAGCCACCTTCCCCGGACTGATCGGAAAGAAGACGCTGTTGGCAGAGAAGAACCTCTTCTTCGTCGCAACCGTAGCCTCACAAGGCTTTCTGCCATACTACCATGTCCACCGAGCAGCAGAAGAAGGACTCGGTCCCATCTTCCTGGGTCTGCGAACACAACATTTGACCGTGGGAGGCTACCTCCGGCTCACGTTTTCGCTCGATAGCCCCAGCCCTACGTTGCAGCTGCATTCCCTCAAGCTGGCTTTACTACAGCAGACAACGCTCAAGTCCCGCGTACGCCGCAACTACGTCGAGTATGCGCCTTCCGAACGATTCGTCTTTTTCGAAGCGGGATCGGCAGAGTTAAGAAAATGCCTCGAAAATGGCCCTGGTGGCGAGGAGGGTCTTGATGGTCTCCTTGCTCTCGCCAAGGAACAGCAACAACAAAAGGGCGGATCGACCAATGTGGCCTCTGACTCTTCATCAGCTCGACCCACGGACTACTCGTCTCTTGGTCAATGCAACTGGGTGGCGCGCATACCCAACGATTCGGAAGCGCGAGCCTCCACTCTACCTGGTAGCGACTCGGCGATTCAAATGGCACACGCGCTGGAGCTCAGCATCCAGTACTCCGACCCTTCGCTTGGCGACTCTGATGTGCGGACCTATCGCACCAACTGGGGTCTCATCCTGCCAGCATGTGCGTGTCGGTGGCAAACCATGCGTTTGCCCTCGTACACACCGGAAGACGCCAATCCAGTGCCCAACATCTCGCGCGACTACTGGGCAGGACGCAACGAGCACGAGTCGTTCACCCAGTGCGTCTGCGGCGAGGATCTCGAACACCTTCTCGAGATGGAGCAGCAAGCAGCGTCCGAGAGCGAGGTGCAGGCATCCTCCGCTATTTGGCGTGACATGCTCAGTCATCGTCTGCAACAGCGGATGCTTCGCAATGGCACGGGTGCCCGCAGTGCCTCGTCCTCACCAGCCCTATCACGGATGGCATCCCGGCGTGGAAGCAGTGAGGACCTCACCTCGCCACCCGTCGCAGGCACATCGTCGTCCGGGAGAGAACGAGGACGGCAAAACCGACAAGCACCCTCGCGCAGCAACTCGGGCACCGCCGACGACGGTGTCCGCTTCGGCCTCATGGAAGCGGAAGACGAGATCGAGTTCGAGATGCAAGCGCGCGAAGTGCTGCGCGATCTCGACCTGGGCGAGCAGGAGTACCAGCGCGAATGGGATCGGCTCAACGAGATGCGGCAGAGGCGGAACAAGGCGAGAAACGAGTACACGTCGGTATCGAGGGAGAGGGAGAGGGAGGAAGGCGAGAGGCGAGCACGGTCGCAATCGGCACATCCGGCGTTGCGGTTGTTTCAGAAAAGATCGGCGAGCAGCAACAACAGTCGGCATAACAGCAGACCGCCGAGCCCGCAGACGCCGACAACAGAGTCGATTGCCGAGTCAGCGAGCGAGATGCGGTTGGACGAGAAGCGTTAAACGAGCGAGACGGGCTCATGTATTTGTATCTGGTCACAAGCACTGGCAACCACAATCGGGTCGATGCTAGAAAGATGCGATTGGGACGGAAAGATGCTTGATAGTGGGTCTACTGGTCGCCAGCAGGCGGGTTTTCAGCCTTGTACTTGTTGGCCCACCCAATAAACGCATGGACGTCGTGCGCGATCTCTCCGGGCATGGCCCCTTCCTGCAAAAATGTAGGTATTCTCCCGCGTGTGTCGGATTGCACGGCCATCTTCCAGTCGACCTTGTCCCCAGCTGCCTCGGAGACGGCTTCGAACGACGAGTAGACGGCGCGGACCTTGGGCGCCTTCTCTGGGGCGTCTGGGTGGGCGATTGGGAATTGAAGCACGACAAAGGAACGATGCGCTCCATCGGCGACCGCTGGCGGCTCGATTGTTCGGTCGGCGCTTCTGATCCATTCCAGCGTTGCTGCCTCATGCGCCTCGCTGAAGGGCTCGGGGTGAGGGGGCAGATCGATGGTCAACAGCATCTGCACAAAGTCCCTATCGGCCGTGACGATCGGCAGCTTGTAAGCGTTGTGCCACACTTCCGCCTCGTCTTCTTTCACCGCTGCCAGTCGCTGAGTGACCTGGATGTCCTCGATGTACAGCTTCTCGTAGGTGGAATGTTGAAAGCGCAGATAGCGGCGGAAGTCATCGTAGGTCAAGCCGCAGTCGGATGCGTGTTGGGATTCGCGCAGGTGCCAGCCCTTCTTGGCGATCTGTGAGACGGGACTGGGCAGCAGCTTGCACTGCACATCGCCGCCGACGTCGGTGTGGAAGTGCTTGGTCTTCTTCCACCCGGGCGTGGCACGGATGAAGGCGAAGGCCGAGGAGAGGTAGTGCGCGATGAACTCGGCGTATTCGGGTGTGCCCGAGGGTGGGACGGATGAGAAGGGGATCTCGATGGCTGCAAAGGGGGCAAAGCTACCACTGGTGCCGCTTGTGGTCGTCATGATTGCGACGTTTTGAGGAAGGATGGCGGGATGGTGGTGGAGAAGGATGGTCTGAGGCAACGGCTTTCTTGGTCGGTGTGGAGGCGAAGGCCCCTGCAGAAATCGTCTGATTTTCAACGCCGCAACATGCAGACTTGCTGCCTGCCGAGCTGCAAAGTCCAGCCGGCGGCGCCGTGGAAATCGTTCTCGGACCCTTTCCCTTTGGCAATCAATTGACGGTGACGGCAGGGAACAGCCACTTTGATCAGCACGTCTCGCAGCTGACGTGCAAGACTGTGAGCGTGAGGTAGAGCCGATCAGGCTTCGCTCCGATCTTCCGTTCTTGCTGTCGCGCGGATCACATGGGTCAGAGCTCAAGCATCACTTAGTCATGGTAGCACCCCATAAGGTTTTGTATGCTTCAGTAGATTCGGACGTCGAAGCCATGTGGGGCTAAACATGCTGGGTCGAGTCGTCAGACCTCGCGAGGCAAGTGGACAAGCTCGAAAGCGGAAGCCCAGTTCGCGGGCAAGCCTGATCTGACAGATCGGTGCGAGGAAATCTCGTCGATCGGGCTGCATGTTTGGAGGTCGTCCGACCGTCCGATCTCGCTCGACACTGATTCACGCTAGACTCTTCCTTAGCGTAAGTTTGTCCATGTGCAGCGCCGCATGGACAAACCACAATCCAAACACGGGGACGAGATCCCGGAATGGGCTAGCATAGAAGCGAGAGCGTGTTGTCGCTTGACATGTGAGATGCGCGGCCTCGGGACGGCGTTCGACAGGCTGTTCTCCCGGGAAAAACAGACGCCTTGTCGACAGCAGATGTGCCTTCCACGTTAGGCCAAGCGGGCAATTGTCAACACCTGCAATCGCCGTCCCCGCGTTCAGGCCTGACCAAGGGCACGTTAGTCTTGAATCAGGCCATTTTGGTGAAAAGACGTCTGTGTTCCCTCACGGGCGGCTGTTGGAATCCATACCAAGTCCGCTCCGTTGCGTGTTCCTGCGAGCTGGACGGAAGTGATCAAGTCGTCTGCATTCGACGTATGAGATCTGTACAGACTCCGCCTGAGGGTGGTAAAGGGCCGCTCGCCTGTGCGAATTGCGCTTTACCCGCTGCAGGCTCATATGCAAATTACCTCGAGCTGAGACATGCTGTGCATTGTTAACGACGATTCTAGCATGAAGTCCCTGCTCGCCCCACAGGCGTTGACACATCAATGGTGGTACCCTCGATGATTGACTTTTCGTCGACAAGGAGAGCTGACCTTGAGGCCAAATAGCGAGGCACGGATGGCTACGAGACAAATGACGATGCAAGGGTGGCAGACGCAGCCAACCAGCTCTGACACGATGGCGCCCAGCCAAAACAGCTCTGACGGATGGAACGCGAACGCCATGCCTTCGTCATCATAAGAACTGGTCGCGAGTCGAGTCTTGGGATATACTCTATCACATCGGCTCCAGTGGCCTGGGTGGGAGCCGCGTCGAGACAAGTCGCGACTGTCTCTCTCTGAGCAAAACAGGGTTTGAGAATTGATCGACCGCTCCTTGGTGAGGCAGAGGCGGCGTGTTTAGCTAAGTTTGGATTTTGATCTTGCGAGCGAGCAAGGGCGTAGCATCAGTCAATCTGAAATTCCCACGCGCCAAAACAGTCGATTCAGATGTTTCTCCACTGTTCCTGTGCCTGCGAAGCGCTGAAAATCTGTTTGGGTGGCTTTGCTGCTGTGGCTTTTGATGCTGCCTGAAAAGAAAGATTTTTGCAATCGAGTCGCGTGGCTAAGGATGCTGCTCTGCCGTCGCTTTGCCGTGAGATTTCGCTTGGACAATTGTCGACCATGCCAAGGTGATGTGGGACAGGATCCATTGTGCGAGGCTTGCTCTGCTTGGCAAAGTCTCCACTCATTTTTATGAGCGGCCCATCTCCTTGCTTTGACCCTTTGCAGGTCAAGGCCGGAGCAACAATGAAGTCAATCGACCGGCCAACGCAACAGTCGAAACAATCGAGTGCGGTACCCGTCGGAATCGAGCTGCCAAAATCCACTTTTACGAACCCCGACGTGATGGTCTAGATTTCAAATCCGGCCCAATCTCCTTTTGTGCGGCCTGCCACTCCTTCTCTTTCCCTGAGAGACCTGTACGGTCCCGCCTTTCCTCCCTCTCTACGCAATTGGCCAGAAACAACGAGGTCTTGAGCCTCTGAAGACCGCCTCTCAAGTCACTTCTCGCCATTGCCCTCGTCTGTCCTGGCCGTCGACTCAGAGCTGGAATGGCACCTAGTTAGCAAGCCTGTCTTTCTGCACTTTGATTCTGGAACGAAGGGAGCAACGGAGATGTGTTGAGGTGCAGAACGGGGACGGGTTTTTTGGTCCCGCATGCAAGGGTCACAATGTCGAGACAGGTGGGGGAAGCACGCACAAAAGAGAGCTCTGTCGCCTAGCTTTGCCGAGACGGCCACGAGGGTGATCCTGGCCAAGCTTTTGCTTCTTCTGCATCGCTTCACTTGACACTGCCAAAGTGCCTCCTTCTCCTCGAACCATTCACAATTTCACTCTGCTGTTCCAGACCGCCACTCCGCTCCATCACTCGATTTCTCACAAGGGCAGCAGCCTCCTCCGCCGCATCTCGTCCCATCTCGTCGTTGTCCCCTTACGCCGTCGATTCCTTTCCGGATTCTCGTCCTCCCATCGTCAGCCTCCTTGTCAAACATCTTTTCGACCTCCGTCCGTATCTCAGACCGCGCATACACACACTCTCTCATCCGATTTCAGCCTGGCGCCAGCCCAGTCACCTTTGGCCCGTCCATCCGCAAGCTCAGACCGGCTTAGCCTCGTCACACTGTCTATTCGGTTGACCGTCCTCGCTTACGATACAAACCTCGTCTGTACCGACAAACTTCTCTCTCAACATCAGCTCAGCTGCCTCGCTACCTTTCGGTTGATCACCAACCTTGCTGCAGCTCTCCGCACCATCACCACCACGCTCCCATCTCTCGCTTTCCTCAGTATAACAACAGCATCGCGCTACTGTCTTTTCCGTCTTGCACCAAGCTTCTTCGCACACGTACCCTGATCTCGACCGCAGCTCTATCGATTTGTCACTACCACCATCGACTCCAGCAAAACTCCCAGCCATCGTCTGCTTCGAGATCGACTTCAGCTCCATTCAGTTCACACTCGTCACCAGTCTCTGAACCCCCCTCAGAATGCTGCGCATCTAGGTCAACACCTTTCGCCATCTCGATCTTTGATCTATCCATCATCAGCGTCGCTCCATAGCGAGCAGGCATCATAATGTCCTCCGCATCACCAACACCAGCACGAGGCGCCGTCGCCGCCACCGACGCGGCCCCCAGCGCTCAGTTCCCTTCGGCAACAGAACACAATGTCTATGCCGACAACCGCGACGAAGACATCTTTGGCTGGATCCAACCCGACGAGTGGGATACCGTCGCAGGCGTCAACAAGAACAATTTCATGCGCGGCGACTGTCTTGAATGTGCGGCCGACCAGGAAAAGACGGCTGCCCCCGCATCATCAACACTTCAGAGTTGCGGTGGCCCCAGCTGTGGCTACGGTGCACAATGCTGCGAGTACAGCCGTCGCGCCACCCACGCTGTTGGATCATCACAACGCACACCCGCCCTGCTCCTGCAACGCAGCAACACCAAAGCTGGTGGCAACACCACCATCGCTGATCTTGCTAAAAAGGAGCAGAAGAGCAGTCTAGGCGTCAGCCTCATCGACATCATCCATGGCCGTAGCTGTCGCCCCATCAGCCTTCTCGATCTGCGCACCTTTTTGCATTTTCAGCGTCTCCCTCACAAGCGTTTGCCAGCCTATTACCCAGCATCGGACATGCAGAGCTCTGCTATCGACGACTTGGACCTCAACTTTGATCTGCCTTCCTCGTCGACATCATCGCCACCCTCGCCAAGGTATATGAAGGAAAAGGAGCAAACCGCAGAGCGTCTTCACTACGACGAGGTGGATGCTTTGGACTTCTTGGTAGCCTACGAGCGCTACGTCACCAAGTTCAGGGACCAAGCGCGTGCAGACCGCCTCAAGAGTCCAGACCCGGCGACATGCAAAGCAGCTGTCCGAGCTTACGTGCGAAGGGCCTGCAAGGGTCGCGCATCGTCCGATCTCACCGCTATGGATGTTTTGCTTCAGGGTTCCGAAACCACGGATGATCTCTCCGACATCCCCGAGGAGATGTCGCGGGAAGTGCTTGCTCGACTCAAGCCATCCGACTTGGGCCTCAAGCCCGAAACGCAGCCTCTTCGAGTCGACTTCGATCGCATGGTGCATCGCTACCTTTGCTCTCGACGTGCCTGCATCCTGCCGAGCTCGCGAAAGGGCCGAAAGAAGCGCTACTCCAGCTCGTCATCCGACACCGTAGCCGACGCACCCGACTCGCCAGTGCGCCAACTTGGCTCGTCCAAGAACGACAAGATGCCGCGTCTCCGCTGGATGGTCGACATGGGCCTCATCTCCGAGGGCGACTTGCAACTCGCTCTGGCCGAATGCGACTTCTCGACCCACCCAGAGGTGCTCGCGCCCGTCGCAGAGGCGGTCTACGCCTACATGTCGCAGCACGTCGTCCCCTTCTTCTTCATCTCGGTGACGAGCAATCTCGGCAACAAGACCAAACGGGGTCGCCTCATGGTCGGCATTGTTCTGTCCACCATTGCACTCATCTTGAGCATCCTGCTTATTATCGAGCCCTCGCCGTTTGCGCCGCGCGCCAATGGCAACGGCGACATCTCTCGGTGGTGGCGCCTACTCACGGCTCCCATCTGGGCTGCGGGTCTGGGCTACGTTTTGGCCTACTTTACTGGTCTCTGCGTATGGCTTACGCTGCGAGGCAACCGCGAACCGGACGCAGAGGAGGAGCGCGAGCGCGAAGAGATCCGATCGCGCATCTCTGGTGAAGACGTTATCGGCTTCGACCTCGCTGAGCTGCAAGCTGCGGCTGACCAGCGCGACGTCTCTGCCGAACAGGACACCAACCGGTGGATGGCGCCTGAGATCGCCAACATCCTCACGGGCATCACTGGCCTGAAGAAGGACAAGCATCGCAAGAACCGTTCTTCCTCAGATCTCCCTGCCGCTCGCAGCGGCGGTGATCTGCGCAACCTCGAGGAGGGTCGCCACCGCTCCAAGTCTGAAGTCACCGAGAGTGGCTTCACCAACAAGGACTCGTTTGAGCTTGGCGATACGTCCAATGCTGTTCATCTGCAGCCATACTTTGAAAAGGAGTCGCTGACAGCGCCCGCGGCTGTGATCCTTCACACGCCTCGCAGGCCGGCCGTGGCCGAATCCGTGGGTAGGCCATCAGCGACCTTTTCGGATGCACACACCTCGCACCCAGTGCGCCCGAGCATGGATCGCGCCCCGAACTCATCCGACGGCTCCGTCGACCGCCCCCTCGCCCCCGGCGCTGCGGTGATCAAGCAAAAGCGCGTCCCTTTGCTCAACTTCAGCATCGGCATCATGACCAAGAACGGCGCCGAGGCGGCGGACGAGTCTGTGGAGACGCCGGCATTTACGCGGGACGCGCTGCTGTTCGATCCAGAACTGGCCACTCGTGCTGCGCCTGGTTCGCCGGACGCCTCGGTCTCGCCGCAGCCGGGCATGGCCCGCCGCAAGTCCCTCTCGCACACGCTGCTGCCGTTCAAGTCGTCGACCAAGGCGGTGGAGAGCGATGCGGAGAAGGAGGAATTCGCGTTGCCGACCATCCCAGAGCCGGAACCGGCGGCGTTGGATCCGCGCGACATCGCTCCTTGGTCCGCACCCGCTCCCGCCCCTCTGACTGACCGACCGCTGCTGTTCTCGCTGCCTACGGATCGCAAATCGCGCCTGTCGGCGGCGACGAGCACCACCGCCGTCGCACCCACCCCCGTCCCCGTCCCACGTGGACCCAAGCGCGCGTACGATAGCAAGATGCCCCTCCACCGCCGCGTCTGGAGCGCGGTGCAGAGAGGAACCGGTTTCGCCGTCGGCACGGAGCGCGTACTGGACGCGCGCGTCAGAAGGGCTCAGCAGATGAAGGCGCTCCGAATCACCGCGCTGGATGCGCTCGCGACCGTCGTCGTGGTGGTCATCGTCATGGTCATTCCGTAGTGTATTTGTAGTGTTTCTGCGCCTGGGCAGAGTTTGTTACCTTTGGGAAAGATATGATACCCCTTCCAGGCTCTGTGTGGTTTGCTTGCGTCACTCTGAGAGCGAGATTGAGGACAAAGCTGAGGCGCATCCAGCTCTGAACCAAAAGCTGATGACGACCGAGCATATTGACATCGCCATGATGTTTCCGGGGTTGCTCGTTCGGACAAGGCGGGCGTGGCGGCTAAAAAACGCACAAATTCCGCCAGCGGCCCTGTGCGCAGTTTAGCCGGTGCGTACCCCGCACAACCCTTCACCGCCGGCGCTCGTCAGCACCGGCTTCTTCTACCATTTGCTTGTCGCCGTCGCATCTTGCTCTGTCACCCCATTCACCATACACGAGACCATGCATCGCATCTCGACGCTTCGCTCGCTCGCCCGCTCCACGCTGTCCGGTGTCTCGTCGCGCCGTACGCTCGCCACAGCAGCAACCCGGGGCAACTTTGTCAAGATCGTCGAGGTCTCTCCACGCGATGGACTGCAGAACGAAAAGACCATCGTGCCCACCGCCACCAAGATTGAGCTGATTCGACGGCTCGCCGAGACAGGTGTGCCGGTGATCGAAGCGGGCTCGTTCGTGTCTCCAAAGTGGGTGCCTCAGATGGGCGATACTCCGCAGGTGGTAAGCGGTATGCCGGTCTCCCCGTCGATATCCTATCCCGTTCTCGTGCCCAACATGCGCGGATTGGAGGGGTTACAAAAGCTCCTAGAGACGCACAAGGGGCAGACGGACGAGATCGCTATCTTCACTGCCGCCTCCGAATCCTTCTGCAAGGCCAACACCAACTGTTCCATCGCCGAGTCGCTCACCCGGCTCGAAGAGGTTACGGCTAAGGCGAAAGCGATGGGGTTGAAAGTTCGTGGCTACGTTAGTGTCGTTGCTGGCTGTCCATACGAAGGCGCTGTCGATCCTGAAGCTGTTGGGAGGGTCAGCAAGGCGCTCAAGGATATGGGCTGCTACGAGGTCTCCCTGGGCGACACCATCGGTGCAGGTACCCCATCCGTCGTCGAAGCAGCCCTCAATGCCTCACTCAAACACACAAACGCCCCAGCAGAGTACTTCGCAGCCCACTGCCACGACACGATGAACACGGGTCTGGCAAATGTTCTGCACATGGTAAGGTTGGGCGTTAGGACGGTCGATGCGGCGGTAGGTGGGCTCGGTGGATGTCCGTATAGCCCAGGTGCGACTGGGAATATCGATACGGAGAGTGTAGTGTTCGCGTTGCACGCAGAGGGATACGAGACAGGGACGGACCTGAACAAGCTCGTAGACGTCGGCGAGTGGATCAGTGGCGAGATTGGGAGACGAAACATGAGTAATGCCGGCAGGGCGATGCTGGCGCAGAGGAAGTTGAAGGCGGACAAGGCGGCCAAGGAGGGGAAGCAAAGGCTGTGAAGCCCCTTAGCATTGAATCGAATCACAGCCACAGTTACAACACACATTCAGAGGCTCAAGGTGTGTTGATCTGGACGTCGTCGTGAGAGAGGTGAAGGTGTGATCTTAATGCTGGTGTTGGTCTTGGTGTTGAGGTGATGCTCGGAACTCGGCCTCTTCCACCTCCACCTTGAGGTTCTGAGAACGTGGACATGCTTCCCATCGTGCTGGGCCGGAACGCTTCCCTCCTAGCGCACCATCCGCTGCCACCACGCCATCATGCACGTACCATAGCAGGGCTCCAACTCACCTATTCGCCCTCTCCTCATCACCCAATAGACGCCGCTCTTCTACGATGTCCACCAAACCGCCATCCTCAATATCACCCTCCTCATCGTCCACCCTGCTCCGTCGCACCCTCACCACCCCCCTCACCCTCTGTTCCCTCTACCTATCCTTCTTCCTCCTCCTCCTGACACCTCCTTTTCAACGGCACTTCATCTTCCTGCACGCCATCTCCTTCCCCTTCTTCCCCACTTACCACCAACCCTCCCGGTATGGCCTAGCACCCTTCAAAACGCGACCCTTGCACCTGACCACCGCAGACAACGAGCGCATCGGGGCATGGCATATCCTCCCCGAATCGTTCTACCAGACCCGCCTCTCCTCTTCGGACGAGGGTTGGGGGGAGGACGTGTACGAGTTGGCGATGCGCGAATACCCAACGGTGCTCTACCTGCATGGGAATAGCATGAATCGCGCGGCCCCGTTTCGCATTGCTGCCTACTCGGCGCTGACCGCTCGGATGGACGTCAACGTGGTTGCGATCGACTATCGTGGGTTTGGAGACAGCAGTGGCACACCTAGCGAGGAAGGGCTGGTAGAGGATGCAGAGACGGCGTATCGATGGATCCGCGCGCAACAGCGGGGTGCGCAACAGGGAGTGACGATCTTCGGTCAGAGCCTAGGTACCGGCGTGGGCGCACTGCTCGCTGTCAAACTCGAACATCAAGCCACGCCAGTGGATGGACTTGTGCTGATGGCACCATACACGAACCTCAAGAGTCTGGTCAAAGACTTTCGCCTAGGTGGATTCCTTCCACTGCTCAAACCCATCGGAGCGATCCCGTTCCACAACCGCCTCCTGGACCGATTCCTACAGACCCAGTTGAACACGCTTGCCGCCTTACCCACCCTCACGGACGCAAAGAGCTCCAGACGCACATCCATCGTCCTGCTCCATGCGAGGGACGATCCTGTCATCCCTATAGACCACTCCCGACGTCTGTTCGACACTCTCCTCGATTCAACCCCGGCGAGTGTGCAGGAGAGAACCATTCGTGACTACGCCCACGTCAAACGCTTCCACAAAGTGACGCTCATAGAGACCCTCCATGGCGGACACAACCAGCTTACAGAGGGCGCACTCGACCTCGTTCGACTCGCCCTCCGACTCCCCTCCCCGCATTCCTCATAGAACCGAATTCCCATTGCTTTTCTCTCGAGCGGCTTACACCTGAAACGACGGTAGAGCATACAATCCCGTCTCTCGACCCAAAAAGCCGAACCCGAGCAGCACCTCCATCTTTCGACTGTGCCACCCGATATCGCCCGTGACGTGGCCGTTGCAGTCGGCGAGGTGCTGCAGTGTCCGCCGGCGCGGGTGGTCAGCGGGCAGATCGCGGACCACCTCGTCTCGCGGCGTCAGCTTTGCATCCGAAGGAAGGGCGTAAGAGGCTGCGATGATGTGGCGCGAGCGAGAGCGCGAGGTGGAGCCGCCTCCGCCGCCGACCGAGTGTGCCCGTCGGATGGAGGGGATGGTTGGGCGGGTGGCGGAGGGGGAGTGGGTGGAAGGAGGAACGCGAAGTTGCGAGCCGGGTTCGAGCGACGATTCGTCGTACCGAACGGATCGGCCTCTTCGCATGGGTTCGCCGCCCGAAGGGCTGTGGTCTTCTGCGTCGGCGCTTGTTGGAAGCGCAGAACCGGCGACGGCTCCTACGTCTTCCACCAAAGCCTCGTCGCTCGCTTCCGGATTGGGTCCTGCTGCCGTGTCCACCACCCATCCTCTCCTGCCTGCTCCTCGGATGACCTTCCACGTACCAAAGCCGCCTCTGACACTCTGCAGTGAAGCCGAGTTGAGTCCGACGACCCTCAGGTTGGTCGCGGCTCTGACGTTCGCCGGCAAGCTCGGCGGGGTCTCGGAGCCAGACTTGAAGCCCATCATGGCGAGCTGGACTGAGATCGGGATGGGCGGCGTCTTGGCACACGGTCCAACCAGGATGCTCTGCAGATGTACCGCGTTGATGGCGCTAGAGTCGTGGCTGTCATAACCCGGGATGTTGGTGGCGAGACCCTCGTTGGAGGAGCGAGAGGTGCACGAGTCGGACAGCTCGAGGATCTGGACGTTAGGTGCACGTTCCCGAAGCAGCTTGCTGACGGCTTCGAGCTTGATGTCGGGACAGTGCGAGAGGCCCAGGTCCAACAGCGAAGGTTGAGGACCGATCAAGCCGAGAAGCTCGTCGGTAAGGGCGCATCCGCCCAGATCGAGGTATCGCATCTTGCCAGAGCGGAAGCAGGGGGCCTGCGTGATGATGACCTTGAGGTCTTCCGAGTCGATGGCGGTGGGGAAGATGAGCGTTCCTGCTAGACTCAGCTCGACGAGCCCTTGCGTGCAGGGTGCATCGACGAGCAGCTCGGTGACGGACTCCGACGTGATGCGCTTGCAGAATGCGAGAGACAGACTCTCGAGCTGCAGCTGGTGCGAGCTACTCAATGCATTGAGGAGCGCGGCATCTGCCTTCGTTCTCGACAAATCGAGATGTGTGAGGCGAGGGAAGGCGAGCACGAACGGATTGAGGAGGTCATTGTCGAGCGTCACACCCGACAAGCCGAGTCGGTTCAAGGATGGGAAAGCAGTCGGCCTCGCAGGATGACGACTGGGTCCATCTCCGTCTCGGCGGCGTGTGGACACGGATCGACTGAGACTCTTGGTCTGCGACCTCGTTGATGTGCTTCTTCCACGGCCACGCTCCTCTTCTTCATCGACGTCCATGCTGTTGTCCTCGTCATGGCTCGACTCGGTCTCCTCTGCAACGGTGTCGGTCATCCTCCCGCTGAACTTTTTGAGATGTGTCTCAACAAACTCCTTCATGGCGTCATGAAAGCGTGGAGACACGCACTCGCAGAGATCCAAGCTTTGCAGCATCTTGTTGGAGCGACCGCTGTTGCGCTCCACCGAGACGCCTCGCATTCGGCTGGGCTTGCTGTACTCGCCGTCTCGGAACAATAGTGCTTCAAGTACGTCGTTCGATAGTGCCGAGTCCATGGTTTCGCTGGCTCCAAAGGCGACCAACCCCTCTGCTGCAGTGACGAGGGCGAGAAGCCTCGCTGGTGTGACAAAGCGTCGGTCGATTCCTTCGCCGATCGTGCGCCGCATGCCTTGGGTGCGGAAGTTGGAAAAGTCAATGAGTCGCACCCATTTGTGAAGGGGGGCATCCTCCTCGTCGTTTTCCTCGCGAAGTGTGACGTGGTAGACCGGGTTGTCTGGTGTCGACGTCGCGTCCTCCGTCCAGATTAGCTCGACTTCGCCGTCCTCGTCTGCGTTGATACGAACAGCATTGCGAATAGAGCCGCTCCGAGTTAAGGAGGCAGAGCGTTCGAGAGACGGAGCTGCCGCTTTCGACGGACCTGGACTCTCACCGCGGCTGACGGGTGGTGTCGATGCTGATCCGCCTCCGACGACGAGCTTCTGTCCGAGAGCATGTGCGAATCCTGCGGCTGCCACCATATTGACGAAGGATGCCGGGTCGGCAGGATCCACATTGACGCTTCCTGTAGATGCATACTTCTCGTAGGCGCTCGCCAAGTGCGATGCACCAAGCGTCCTCAAGAGCAAGTTGAAGCTGTGAGGCAGTGTGATCTGGATGCGCCTGAAGAGCAGCACCCGTGCTTCATGATAGAAAGCCTTGTTGACGAGGCAGAGATTGTAGAGCGTCTTGCGGGTATCAGTTTGAGTGGACGAGATCTTGCGGCCGTCGGGATAGGATGACGGCAGACCGTGCGGGTCGATGTTGCGAAAGGAAGACTTGGGGATGGAGTCGAGCCAGACTAGGCCGACGATCTCGCGGAGGATCTCGGTGGGCAAGTCATTGATGGTTGCCCGCCGTCCCGACGAAGCCATGTCAGCTGAGCGACAGTTGGCAGAGGAGGGTCTTGGCTGTCGTGATGATGTGGCAGAGGGAAGTGCCGTCAAGGACAATGGACCGGACTCGCTCGGACTCAGCCATCCGAGGTGACTTGAGCGATTTCAGGGTCCTGTTTCTCCAAGCGCGTCTTGGCCGAAGTTTAAGGTTGTGTCGCCTGGAGCTGCGCTGATTTGGCTCAGCCTCTTGACAGGCCGGCGCACGCGCTGTTTTTGCAAAGGTGTTGGATCGTTGGTGGGACGAGCGTGGGGCCTTTTTTCCTGTGATGGCGGAAGAGAGTGGAGGATGAGAGCTTTGTGATTCTTCTTAAGCGCACGATTCACACACTTTTCGCTTCTTCGGTGTTGGCAATCATCTTCGGAAGCGTTCCGTTCTCCTCCATCACTGCGAACATCGGATCCCTTGCAACGCGCGGCTCATCCGTCAATAGCTGATCGATCTCGCTCGACCTCGCCAAAGATGTCGTCGGCAGCACACGAGTATCCGGAGCTCGAGAACATTCCACCCGCACCGCCACGCTCTTCAATGTCTTCGTCCGCAGCTTCTCGACGGTCGCATCTGGTCCCGCAGTGGGCAGCTGCCGTCTTCTCAACATTCCCTCTGCATACCTATCCAGCGGCAAAAGCACACTCGCCAACCACACCCGCACCACCCTCCAAGCCAACCCTCTACGTCGCACCACACTTGAAGCGAGACGGCACATTGTCTGCGGTGCATGCGGATGACGATGAGCACGATACCAACTCGGATGCCGAAGATCACCGGTGGGGCGCTTGGTACGAGAAGGAGCAACGGCTGAAACGACAGCCATCAGGATGGTCCAGCAGCGACCCCATCGCCCTTCGATGGCAGATGGAGCTACTGTTCCGCTATGTCGACTTTGACGTGCGCTTCATCGACCCTTCGCATAACTGGGGCCCGGCCAAGTCGATGCCATTTGTTCATCTGCCACCTCATTTTCGTCACAAAGCTGCCTCATCCTTGCTGCCCGCTACCGAAATCCCGCATCTGATGGACAACTACTACCCGGCTTCTCGACCGGAGCTTGAGAAGAAGGGCGATTCGTCGTGGCCGGACCAAGCAACCAAACTCGAAGCTCGGACCTGGGAGAATCTGCTCAAAGGTCGCATCATGGCTGGCGTCTTGCTCGCTGTTCTGCTTTCTCCTCAGTCGGCTGTCTACTCCAAGACGGATTCGCAACCATACCTCTCATCGCTCCTATCCGCGCAACTTCAGAACTCTTTCTTCGATCAGCAATTGCGGCGCATCTCGGCACTCAATCCGTCGGCCTCCTCCGCATCCTCCTCCTCTTCTTCGTCAGGCAGTGCAACATCCTCGGCTCAGCCGACCACGAGTCTTCCAGGGTGGGAAGTGGGTTTCCTCGGTTGGATTGGCGCCACGACAGCGTCGGCTACTTCCGCTCTCTCCACCGCAGACCTCGATTCGCGCGGAGGAGGCGACACTCCTGGCGCTGCTCTCGCCAGTCCATCCGTCAACCAGGACATAGTCATTGCAGATGCTGTTGCTGGTCTGTATGCGCTCGCTGCTCGAACCAAAGCGCAGCTGACGGAGCAATCGACAGAGAACCAATTCCTCTTGGGCGCCAGCAAACCAACCTCCCTGGACGCTTTGGCATTCAGCGTCATTCATACCGTATTGACACTGGCAGCCACACCTCAGTCACAGGGCAGCAAGGTGAATGAGCCGCTAACCAGGCTCAAACAGGTGCTCGACGAGAGCTCCTGGCTCGTTCAGTGGTCACGCAGCATGTGGAAGGCGTACGTCAGGCATCTCGATCGAGCCTGAAATACCACATACGTCTTCAATCGCGACACAACCGCAGTGGGCAATCGCATCTTCTTGCATTCGCATGACTTCAAGCCTTGGGCTTTGGAGGTGTGTATCCCTCTGCTTGATGCACCAGCTCTTCCGTCTTGGCTGCCATGACAAAGTCGTTCTTGTGAAGCTGTTCGTAGACGGTCAATGAGATCAAGATTCGGGTCAGCTGCCTCTGCAATGACACAAAGCATGCTGTCGTCACTTACCCCGTTGATAGCATGACTCCACCACCACACGGTCACGCGGCCCCACTCGACCATGATGGCGGGATGATGCCCTTCTCGTTCCGCTAGCGCACCGAGATCGTTCGCGAAAGCCTGCGCCGAAGTGAAGTCCTTGAACTTGTACGTCCGATGCAAGGCGTCGGGGTGAGTTGCTTTAGACGAAAGCAGCGTCTTCGGCTGCGGCGATAGCGACCACTTTCCAGCGAGATCTGAGAGCAGCTTCCGCGCCTCGTCCTGCGACATTGCTGGAAGGTCCTTGGTGCATGGCTCGCACTTTTGCGCTGTGAGCGGTTGAGATGACATGGCGCGAATAGAGATGGAGAGCAGTTGGCGTGATATTCTGTGCTGTGCTGTCAAACTTGTTGCGTGAGGGATACGAGCGATTCGTATTGCTTGATGCAGCATACCGAGTCCGCCGTTCGTCCTGGTGTCAGAGGTGATTGTGCAGGATGGACAAGAAGGCTTGGACAGGTGGAAGGGTTGGGCTTAGCCAAGTGGAGCAGCGAGCTCAAGCCGACTTCCGAGCAGCAGGTCGCCTTCTCAAGTTTTGGACCCTGAATTGTTGGCTTCCTTTCTTTCACTTCAACCTTCCACTCACATTCAACAATCTCCCGGGCTGAGCTATACGTCGTCGCCTGTCCAGCATGATGCTGATCGCATTCGAGCGCTGACTAACCCCAAGGAAGCGACGATGCAGTCGCAGGAGGTTGGAGCGCTTCTAGCCAGGCTTCGCGAATCTCGTCTCTCGTCCGAGGAGCGACGCACAGCCCTCGATGCTCTCCGCAAGGCGCTCGAGACCTTGGACTCGGACGTGCTCTTCCCTTTCGCCAAGACAGCGATCCAAGATGGTCCCAATGATACACGTCGTATTGCGTTCCAGACGCTGTCACATCATTTCGATACGCAATTCGCTAAGGATGCTCAGGAACAAAGTGCCCAAGCCGGCGTCGACGATCTCATCGCTGTCACCGAATCATTTCTGAGGACGACTCTCAAGATCCAGAACTCAAGATCTTCCGCTACTTCATCCCACATCACCTCTAACGTCTCGACATTGTCCACCTCTGTGCTGCGAGCCATCGCTGCTGCGCTCAAGACACTCCACGCGCTCATTCCAATATCACCGAAGAAAGCAACGACAGCTGCTCTGCCTGCTGCAGCAGCCGGAAGAAGCACAAATTTGCTTGCCCTCTTCGACATTCTATTGCCCTGCTTGTCGGTGGGGCTGCAGCTCGGAAGGCCTCGTCAGTCAGCGTTGCCACGTTCTAGCTCGAACCTTCAAGCAGGCGCCTTCTCCTGGTCAAATCAGCCGAGGTCATCTCGCAATCTTGCCGCTCAAGGCAACCCATCACCGCTTGGATCTTCCGTTAGCACCTCAACGCTTTCCAATGGGAACATCAGCTTGCATGCTGAGAGCTATCGCATTGACTCTTCAGCAGACGAGACCGACCGCAAGAGCGACAAAAGCGAGAGCGAGCGGAGCGACTTTTCCACTGCCTCGACGGCCGCGAATTCGTCTAGATCACGCAAAGACGAATCACGACAGCAGGAGACAACGGCGAAGCTCGTTCGCCAAAATGCTCTTCATTGCCTCATTGAGCTCACCAGGCGCGAGTCGCGAGCATTGATCAGCCGTTGGAGTGATCTCTTACCCGACGAACCTGCTCCGACACGCCCATCGGACGCCACAGCCAAAGCTTCGTCCACGACTCCGCGCTTTTCCGCGTCGATCAGCTCACGAGCATCCTTCTCCCTCTGCACACTCTTGGCACAGGACCCTTCGACGTCGGTGCGACTCGCGGCCATGTCGACGTTGGAATCAATTCTATCGCATGGCACATTGCAGTTGTCTCTAGCGCAGGAACGAGCTCAACGAGCGCTCTCTTTCACATCTCTGTCATCACAGTTGGCGAGCTGGATCGTCAATATTCGATCGTATCTGGTCGTGGCGTTGCAACGGGCCGCGACTGCACCGCGTGCATCAACCAGCAGCGAAGGGAACGGAGCCATCGCGGGCTACCCTTCATCTTTGACGATAGCCTTGCTGCAGCTGACACGCACGTTCGTTCTTAGTACATCGAAAGCGAGGCTTGTCGCTTCCAACGAGAGTATTCTTGGCCCTCTGATGTTGCCGTTCGCCTCGCATAGCGACCCACAAGTGCAAGCAACGGCGAAACAAGTCGTCGCTTCAATGACAGCACGAACACCACCAGCGGTCGCTTCGAGCGCGAGTAGACGAACAGAATCGATACCGTCGTCGACTGCCGGTACAGCCACGTCTGGAGCCAAAACGATTGCTACAGCGCGACCCGCAGGCCAAGCGGACAATTCCGTAGTCGACATACTGCACCTCCTCGCGGATGACGCCGAGCTCACACCGGAGGTATGCGAGCTCGTACTAGCTGCGCTTGAAGCTGACGCCAAATCAGCAGACCAAACGCCAGCCTTAGCCCTCTTTGTCAAGAAGCTCGGCAATGCGTCTGGCCTCGTTCTTGAAGGCGACGAGTGGACACGGCTCTGGAAAATATGCCAGCGCACGATCGACCAGCCGATGCAGACGCCCGAGTTGGTGTCTATGATGCTCGGCACAGTCGCAGACCTGCGCGGAGCGCTTTCGAGGAGCGGTGTTCTGGACGCGGAGAGGTCGACCTCGATCTTGGACTATGTCAAGCGTCACTGCGCCGACTCTGACGAGGCGATCCGCGCTGCAGGCGTGCGCGTGCTCGGCTTGCTCGTGCTTCCGGCGGACAGCGCTCACATCGACACGCATCAACAGCAGATCTGCGATGTCCTGGACGATGTGCTGTGGGGCAACCCGGACAAGGTCAGCGGTGGAGCCTTGCACGACAGCTCGAGCCTCGTCCGCCAACGCGCATCATGGGCCTTCTCGAATGCGATGGAAGCACGACTTCGCGCGAAAGCTCCTCTCATCGAGGCAGACTGGACGAAGTATGCTCGCTACTGCTTGGCAGCTGCCAAGGACATTGAAGGCGTGGCCGTCTCCGCGTACCGCACCTCTGGGACCCTTTTGGCGCTGCTGGACCTTGCATTTGCATCGAAGGAAGGTTGCTTCTCGCTAGGACGATCGCTGTTGGAGCAGCTCTGTAGGGTGTTGGGCACGACGTCGAAGCCGCCCAAGTCAAAGTGGAACGCTGCCTCTGCACTTGACCGTGCGTTGGCCTCCAGCGTCGTCATGACGCATTCCCTCGGATCCTCTGCTTCTGCAGATGGACTTGTCGACAAAATCGTCGATTCGCTGTGTGGTAGCTTGACCGCAAAGGTGTTCAAGATCCGGGTCAGCGCAGCCAATGCTCTGGTCTCGCTCTGTCTTGATGCGGACAAGACTCCATCGCAGACTTCCAGCAGCCTTCGCCTCGAAATGCTGGGCGAGCAGCGCGCCAGAAAGATCCGAACCGTCGCGATGGCTAGACTGGCTGAGCTTGGAGAGCCAGCGACATCCAAAGAGGCTGCGCTGTACGTCGATGAGCTGAAACGTCTGCTCGGCACTGTTGTTGACACCATTCCAGTCTAGACCATCCATCTATACCCATCTCAATCATGACCTCTGACATTCCGAGTCTCTCGAGTGAGAATACCCGTCTGCGCACATATCTACGACCGTCCCTCCTCGCCCCGCAGCGCGCTCACCGAGCTCCATCGTCGCACCTGAGCCTCTTGCGCACCCATCGTCGGTCTCTCCCTCGCTCCAGGCTGAGTCCGCTGCAGAATCGGCCTCGCCTCTTCATCCCCCTCCTCGTCGTATCGGCCGCTGCAGGAACCGCAGCATGCAGTGCAACGACACGACTCGCGGCACGTCTGGAGGCACCCGTCGAGGCAGATGGCAGCCACCTCGGTGCACATGGTGAACAGCCCGATGAGGGGCTCGATGAGGATGCCGATGCAGTGTTCCATTGCGAAGGTCTTGCTAGGGTGAAGTTGACGAAGATGGTGGAGAGAATGCTGCGATGGTGGGGTTGGAAGGTGCGGCGGGAAAAGGTCGGTGGACCCTGCTCCGTCCTATCTTTCCAGCGGAAGTGCGGGGTTATGAGCTTTCTTTTTTTGCGACCTTCATTTTAAGCTTTGATTTTTGGCCCTTCAAAATTAGAGCTTTCGGATAGAGCAGACGCCGCCGAGCTGTGAAAGCGCTCACGCGTTTGGCGTCGCCACTGCTTCCAATCACCATCACCACGCTCCATCATGGCAACGAGAGCAACCATGCGCACGCTGTTCCTGCTAACCTTGGCGCTGCTTTTGACATTGGCGCAAGGGCAGTCAATCTCGCAACCACAGCCGACGCTGCCGGTGCAGAGCTACTCCGACGACCCGGTGGTGCTCAGCACGCTGCTGTGCTCGCTCAACACGGATGGTGGGCACGGCATCGGCCCGCTCACCCCGCAATCGGCGTGCATGTCGATGACGCTTCAACCACACGCGACGAGCAGTGTTAACGCCCAGACGCTGCCACCCTCGGGTATCGTCACCATCTTCGAACCCTCCTCCACCGCCTCCGTCTCCTCCGCTTCCTCGACCACGACAACAAGCGCGGCGAGCGCGACCAGCGCATCCACAACAACGAACGCAGGAGCTGCAAGTGCAACGACTGAAGCACCAAGACAAACCAATGCAGGGCAGAACAATAGTCCACCCGCCGTAGCCGTCGCCATCGCAAAGTACAACATTGGTCTACTGCTTTTTACGGGCTTCGCGCTGTTGGCCGGGGTGACATACTTCTTGGACGAGCTACTGGGCTATTTGCTCTGATGCTATCCGTAAGTCTCGGGCTCGTGTCCTCTTTGGACGATTTCAATAGTGATGGCAATTGTAAAACATACCCTTCCGCATCTTGGCGCGATACCATCGAAACCCATCTTCAGACGACGCGTGCACGAGTTGGGAAGGTCATGGTTGGCTTTCGGTCAGGTCCACGCTCGGGTGTCGGATCTTGTCCAGACTAGCAAGCTTCGATCACGTCGACCTCTTCCGATTCCCGGCGCAGGCCAAGTGTGAAGCGCGATCATGCAGGAACCAGGCTGGGAAGCGACTGCAGCGAGGCTGTGCAGATCGCTCCTTAAGACGCGATGAGTGTCAACGAGCTCCACGATTGTCGTATGGAGAGGTGAGGAGGGACCGAGAACAGGTCTTTCACCGCGTGCGTGGACGGGATAGGAGAGAGCAAGCACAGAGCTTTGATCGCTTCGCTGCGGTATGGTGGTGGAACTAGCCGGCGTCCTCTTGTACCATTTGTGGGCTGCTGTTCAATCGGCACGAGAAGTACTGTCGATGCGCCCAATGCGAGTGTCCGTCGCCCTTGACTTCATGAGCAAAGATGCAAAAGAACTCCCCGAGGCGAGATGCAGGGTCCTTTCGACAGTCTGCGCAGTACAGACAGCGGCTCAAGCATCCGACAGGTTGGGAGGAGCGAGCGCCTGCATGGCCAGACAACGCATGCCCCGCGGGACAGGAGCACATGTGGCCCCGGCGGCAAGTTCAGGAATCCCGTAACCGCTCCGATGACTCGGGATATCCATGGGAAGCCATGTGCGCACGATCCGGGTTCTCAGGCACACCGTATCAAGGGGCAAGTCAAGCTCGCTGACGGGCGGGTTAAGGCCATGCGAGGGCTTCTCTCGTCCGACGTTCCCCACGGAAAAGGCGGCCTCGAGGCAGGTGTCTCGCCGGCAAAACCACGCGGGTGCAGCAGAAGACGATTTCAAACTCTTCATGACACGAAAAACGCGGTCAGCACAATCAACCTTCTTGCGGAGATTCAACTTTTGCGCCTTGTACGAGCTAAGAAATGACGTTATCCCCTGACAGCCGCCGCTTGAGCTGTTCAGCTTGATGCCCCAAACGGCGGCATCTGAGGCTTGCTTACTGACCGTGTACTTAGCTCGGGGTACATGTCGTCGCTTGCTCCAAGTGCGGTCCAGCCTCAAGAAACGGGCAGAGCAATCCGACGCATCGATCAGGCTGCATCCATATGGCCCTCAAGTGGCTATCCGGCTGGGATGCAGTAGCCGGGAAAGCGATAGAGTGGCATTCCAAGCCTCATTGTTTGAGCACGGCAAAAATCAGCCGAAAAAAAAGGAAAATTTAATTTAATTTCCGCTTTCGATAAAATCGTGGCTTGGAGATTGATTGGGCTTGCAGAGCCAGCGAGAAAGGGTGCCGACGGATCACAACCGCTTCGACCTGCAACTCACAGATCGGCACACGACTGGATGTGCACATCTTGGTGGAAAGGACCGACGTCGTACAAGTGGAAACAATGTCGATCAAACTC